GAAGAGAGAAAATCAATCCATTACTTCGAAGAGGAATATCAAATAAGCTGTATAAAAAAAGTAAATAACATGTATGTATTATTGGCATTAGTTAGATTGAAGTTTAAGTGTATTTAACACACAAAATATATATATACACCGGTACATGTACATTCATATGGATATTTCATCTTGCTATCCCCTTGGATAAAAGTCTGCGGATAAAGCTCATCAGACTTTCATTTGTCTGAGCAACAGGAGATGGTGAGATTGTTTGAATTTAGAAAGTTAGTTCTTAACCAAGTATATTCTGGTGTAGTGAGTTATAACTAGGAGCTAATAACTCGAGGCTAGATTATAACGGAGATGATGGAAATTAAGATGTACAATGCTTAACCGACACAGTGCGTTAGCTTGTTTACATAGAGGAGTGGAAAGACTGTTGAAAAGCCTAGTTGAAAGGGGGAATTAGATTAATGTTTCATTCTTATAGAATGGTGACGATGGAGGGACACAATCGCCAAAAAGGTGTCAGGCGTTGGTAAATAATTGTGTGTCAAGGGGTAGGATCAACTGAAGTATACTAGTACCGGTAGTCAGTCAGAATAGGATTACTTGATATAAGAGTTGGAAAGAATGGTTAACTTTAGTCTAACAGCCATTGTGGTTAGTACAGTTCGATACTAAAGCCTCTAAGCTCAGTAAGTCTATTCCTCGACTTTAATACAGTATGCAGTTTACACTAGTGTTGACATCTTGTAACTATAAAGCTTTGAAATATTGTATAAATTATACAATCAGTAAAACACTTATTACAATGATTAATTAGTGTACATATCTAGCAGCAATCATAAGTGAAGTTCATGAAAGTATTTCTCCCCTTGTTGAGATTTGGTTGAAAGTGGGAGTTAGGTGACAAAGGGGGAGGAACTTTCAAGCTTATGGTGCAATTAGCCAATGTAAAGCGACCCAATAGTCTCCACAACAACAGGCGATCTTGTTGTTCCCTGGATCTGACTCCACTTACAACCTTGATGTCTCTCTGGAGACCATTAGATGCCACATTGCTGACACTGGAATAGAGATCAAGCAGACCCCGGTAGTCACAGTTACCAGTCTCAAGGACTTGCTAGAGGAATATGATCAGCGAGTTCATGACTCTATTGGATCTGACTTCACTTACAACCTTGATGTCTCTCTGGAGACCATTAGATACCAAATTGCAGATTTGCAGTCACTGTCATGGAGGTGTGTTTTTATCGGATTACCAGTGAGGGGGGATGCTAATTTAGCCTCCCCTCGGGCTGCGTGTATATAGGGTTAAACTTTCATTGAACTTTCCATGACTCCTTGATTCTTCATGCAGACATGTCCAAGAGGTAGGGGAGAGCCATCCTTGAGACCAGAGAAAAACAAGGCATTCAAAGTCCAACCAAAGACAGCAGTAAGTGTAGGTATATGCGATTTTTCCCGCCAAACAGGTGTTTTGGGAGGAGTTCTATGTATACCAAACTGAGGAGACAGGGATGGTGGTGAGCGTTGTGTGACTCATTTTATTTGAAAATTTTGATCAATTTCTCACGTTTTTTCCCCAACGAATTTCAAAATATTTTTAAGGATGACTTGAACATTTTCGAGCAACATAAACAATTTAATGCTTGGTATCCAAGCATGCGAGACCTATAGCTAGAAAGAGGGTGCGCAAGAGAGTTTAATATCTGTGTGAATGAACAATAAGTTGATGAATGACCTAATGGTTCTCAATGACGTTCGAAATCTTTGCGTTACAGAAGCGAGGCCTTAACGAAAATGGCGTGACAGAAACTCTTGTAAAGAGACTACAGAAAGAAATTGAGAGAGAAATCCATGACCAAATTAATGATGTTGGTAATAATGAATCTCAAGCTAAAACCCAGAAGATGACGAATTCCAAGGAAAAAGATCTTAATGAACTTTTAAATAAGGTACTCTCGTCTGTCCAAGAATTAGAAAACAAAATATCCAAACTTGAAAAGAACTTTGGTGATGAAACACTTGAACAAGAAAGAAAAAACTTGCAAAAGATCGTTAAATCCACTGAAAATCAACCAGGAGTAATATACTCACCTACAGTCCTGATAACAATACAACTACATGTATTTAAGACTAGGATGGATATGTGATTACATTGCCAAAGCTACACGAGGGGGGGGGGGGCAACATAATCTCAATCCCACCCTAACGCCAATTAATATCAATTTGAATAATTTCAAGCATTTTTTAGACAAGAGAAACTTGTCTTCTAAATCTCATCTGTTCTAGTCTACGCCCAAGGCAAAATTATTATGAAGGAAAAACTGTGATTAAATCATTACGAACTTGTAGCTCGTGCACATAGATTTCCATGCATTTTCTTTTTAATGCATTGAATATTTTTATTTAATGCTTAACTAGATGGAACTTCGACTGCGCGCAGTCGAAATGATGCCTCCGTCATAGAGCAATTTTACAAACCAAAACAGAAGAAATTGTTCAAATTCAAGTTCAATTGTAATCCATTAACAGGTTCTCAGAATATCGTGATTACAAGCAATTTCTCATATACATATATGACCCTTTGATCTTTGACCACATGACCCTAACATCTACTCAGTTCATTGGCTCTGCAAGATGTTCCGAGTTAAATAGTAATCCATCTGTCAGTTCTAATGAGAATGCGTTCACAAGCTATTTTTGCATACATAATGAGCCCATGACCTTTGACCTTTGACCTCATGACCCAAGAATCTACTCAGTTCATTGGCTCTGCAAGATACATACATGATCTAAGTTTGGGAGGAATCCAACAATCTGTTCTAATGATAATGCGATCACAAGCTATTTTTGCATGCATAATGAGCCGCATGACCTTTGACCTAGACCTCATGACCCCAAAATTTAATCAGTTCATCGGCTCTGCAAATAACATACATGACCTAAGTTTGGCAGGAATCCATCAATCGGTTCTTGAGATAACGCGATCACGAGCTGTTTCAGCATACATAATGAGCCCTGTGACCTTTGACCTTTGACCTCGTGACCCCAAAATCTACTCAGTTCATCGTCTCTGCAAGATACATACATGACCTAAGTTTGGCAGGAATCCATCAATCGGTTCTTCAGATAACGCGATCACGAGCTGTTTTTGCATACATAATGAGCCCTGTGACCTTTGACCTTTAACCTCGTGACCCCAAAATCTAATCAGTTCATCGGCTCTGCAAGATACATACATGACCAAAGTTTGGCAGGAATCCATCAATCGGTTCTTCAGATAACGCGATCACGAGAACGGGACGTACGGACGGACGGACGTACGTACGGACGGACGGACAACCCGAAAACATAATGCCTCCGGCTACTTCGTAACGGAGGCATAAAAATTAACACTAAATCTATTGTTTTAATGCCTTGGTTCTTGAAATGTTTTTTCTTTTTGTTGTCGTGAAGTTATTCCCAAGTTTTTCCTTTTTTGGGGGGAGGGGGGGGGGGGGGCATTATGTTTTGTCATTTATTGTAAATGCTATTTTGTATTGTGAGGTTGTAAGGAGTGGGCACAAAATAATATTTTATTAAACCCTCCCCCCCCCCCCCCCTTATTTCCCAAATAGGAAAGATGACTCTGGTCTCTGTACATATTAAAGAAGGTATAATCTCACACGTTTTTACAAATTCTCTGACTCCTAAATCAAGTGCTTATAAGTGGAAAGTAAGTTCATTGACATAGCGTGTCATTGAAAGCAATTCTTATTTTTATGTAATATGAAATAAATGTTAAAATAGAGAGTGTTCGACATTCAAAGAAGATTACCAATGATTACCTTCCCAATGTAGCGTCGCCTCTGTGCCTCATTACTCACTGCGTAAGAATAGTTTGTTTATACCACTGTATTCTTTCGGAATTAATAGAAAACAAATCAAAAGTTGTATGTGTCTGTATGTATGTGGTGTGAAGGAAAAATACTCCCATATAAGAGCAAGAGGACACAAATTTCTAAATGCGAAATTAAGCGTTGTCATGTTCCTGCCGTGGCGACACTAACATATACTTAATACACCGTCATTTTGGTAAGTCCTTGTTCATCATGGAGCTCGATGATTTGAACCAGATCTTGATTGAACACAATTTCAACTTCGACATCAAAGAGGAACAGCTCAAGTGTTTGCAATACCTCGAGAAGGGGGAGAATGTATTCGCTCAACTTCCTACAGGATATGGTAAAAGTCTAATTGTGCTGGAATACAATTTCAACTTCGATAGTAAAGATGAACAGCTCGACTGCTTGAAACACCTCGAGAAGGGGGAGAATGTGTTCGCTCAACTTCCTACAGGATATGGTAAAAGTCTAATCTATACCTTGTATCCCTTGTACAAAGAAAAGGTAAGAATATCTCAAAATAAATAAAAAAAGCTAACGAAAAAGAGACTGAACTTTCGGTCTAGGGTCAGGATAGCTACAGAACGAAGAGAACATGGTCTTAGTTCATCCTGTTTTGTGAGAGTTTTAGAAAGATTTTATTGGAATGACAGTGAAAAAAGATACGTTGCCCTCTGGTCAAAGGAGACTATCCAGGAACAACTGGATGGTTGTACTATAGAAACATTCACACATTTCACACTCTGCACAAATGATGGAGAAGGGGCATGAGAAGACATCCAAAGCATGTCAAACAAAAATTGAAGCTCAAGAGTTCTTACTGGAATGTGTTGGACAACATGAAAAGGAGTGGGTCAGGAAGAAAGGTATGACTTTTATTTTGAATGGTTGTATGTTGTTCTAGTCAAGAAACAGCCATCGAGAAGTAGCACCTGTAGTGGATGCCCATCTTGGAGTAGAGGAGGTGCACATTGTCTATTGTGTTACTTTTCAAATAATAACTCAGGAAGTCAATAATTATCTGTATGTCTAATTCAAAATGTTGACACCGCAAAGAAATTAGCACCAAAAAAAACAAGCTTTAGCTAATATGTCCAGCAGTACAGTTTGGATAAATTGACACTACCTGTGCTCGCATATTAACAAGGACACTATATCATGCTGCAAAATTGCCTATGCTTGTCTAATTACTACTTCCAGGATAAAAATAACAATGTCACAGAATTTAAGTGATTCATACGCAATTAGACCCATAAGCTAAAGGGATCTAGTGATTCAATATGTTCCTCCTTCTACTATTCATATAACGTAAATAAACACATTCCCTATCATCATTTCAGTTTACCAAAACCTTCTTGCCTTTTTTGCATTCGACACAAGACCGATTCTTGTCTACGTATCAGATTATTCTAATACACACTGTATTTCTGTTTGCTGCTTGTTTATGGAGGTGTTCATCCTACCACCAGCACTCTGTCTTTGTGGATGGACCATCTTTGTCATGTGCTGCTGATTATTCAACCCTCAGCTGCACTCTCATGGTCCCACACGCAAGACCTATCCTCGTGTACGTATTGCATGATTGTATTTCTGTTTGCTGCTTTCTACATATATCCTTATGGAGGTTTACATCCTACCACCAGCACTCTGTCTTTGTGGATGGACCATCTCTGTCATGTGCTGCTGAATTCTTCAACCCTCAGCCGCACTCTCATAGTCTCTGATGACTTGATTCACTGTGGAAAATGCGTCTTCGAAGTCCGTCTGAAAGAGATTTCAGAGAAAAATTGTCATGATTCAATGTTTGTAGGCATTTTGAAGAACAAAAATTGAATGGACATTATACTGTCCATTAAATTATTTCAGAATATTAAAATTGAGAAGAAAAACAAACAAAAAACAATTATACTAGAAAAAACAGATATCATGTTCACGGTTTTAATTTTGAATCTTATGTAGTCTTTGGGTGGTGACTGCATTTTGAAAGACCTATAATTCGTAAAAGCTACAAGTAGTTTCAGTAATCGAAATAACATCTGTTCTTATATGAATACCTGATTGGTATCGACTCCCCTAGGGAATCTGAGATCAAAAGTCTTATATACCCACCTCATCACAGCTGTATCTTTGGTACCAGTGTAGGAAAGCCTTGGCTTCATACATGGACTGTGCTCTGGACTGAACTCTCTGCATCGTGCTCACAATCCTACTAGTATTCACACACATCGTCATGGAAGAAGTGTCCTTTGGTAAAACTCCTTGCTGGTTTCCTACAAAAGGTATTAAACAAATTAAGGCATACATGATTGCAACGGCTGGAATTTTCTTCCACAAGTTTGAAAGACAAACATGTTACAGAAAATGATCTGTATGATGATGTTGAAAAGTTAAACTTTCATTAGCACATATAGCAAGGATAATATTTAAATTCAAAATTTCAACCATCTATACTAGTAAGAACTATTTTCTTTGGGCTGGCATATTTAATTATTCAGGTAAATAAAAATCTTTGAGGTGAATTGTAACACCTTGGATTAGCCTGATATGCTATTTTGAAAAACAGCACCTCAATCTGAATGCTGTATGATAAATGATTTCCACTTGCAATATTTGCACATAAATGATGATGATTTTATTCATCAGGAAAGCAACTTTACAAGATCTCCCACTTTGGCTCCTAGCCAAGTTACTTGGTAAATAAGTTAATGCATGACCAAAGACCATTTGTACTTAGAACCCCACACCTACGTACTTAATACACCACTGCTCTAAAACTGAGCCATCTGGAATCCTATTTCCCTAGACTCAAGAACCCCATAATTTAAAAGTTTGTAAGGAGGTTCGTGCAAACAGACTAAATATTAATATCCATCTACACCCCTAAAAAATTCAGTGTGGAGCGATAAATTACCTATCCAGAAGTCGATTGGGAAGGGATTCCACTCAGCAAAGTTGAGGGCTGCTTTGAGTTTTCTCTCAATGGTTGAAAGACTCGTCATGAAGGTGGATGTTGTCTCTCCTCTTACTGCCACCAGTGAGGCAAGTGAGGAGTACTGAATCACACACAAACTTGCAGTTAAGGAAAATATATCTTGAGCACAGTATTCTCTATATAGATAATGTCTTGCAATGTATTCTATAATTAAGGAAAGTTCGAACTACACAACCAGAAACAAAATTATAGCTACAGAAATATTGTTTGACTGATATCAGAATTGCAAACCAGACAGGGCTCAACAGCAGTTACCATTCCATGAAGCCCCTCCACCTCCCTCAAGGCTTCAGGAGGACCGAGTGGAGGAATGGAAGATGTTCAAACAGATGTTTGAGCATTACAGTGTTATCACAAAGTTGAAAGAAAAGGACCAAGCATACCAAAGGGCAGTGTTTCTGCACACCGTAGGTCCTGAAGGACTCAGAATATACAATGCTCTTAGCTTTGAGAGAGAAGCAGACCAACATGATGTTGATATAATTATCACGAAGATGACGAGCCTCATCGTAGGTAATGTGATCAGAGGCCGGGTGAAGGCGTAGGAGCCATGTATCAATGCTCAAAGAATTGGTTAAGACCTGTAACTGCTATGATTGCCTGAAAGACAGACTAGACAGACTAGTCCTTGGTATCTCTGACACCTCGACGAGAAAAACCCTCCTGCAAAGGAAGAAACTTAAGCCTGATGAGGCAATTGACATCTGCAGGTCGTCAGAAATTTACTAAAACACAGATGGATATGATTGGAGATAGATGTAGCCAGTCAATCCACAAAGTGTAGAGCACTAGACCAAGGCAGAATGCAAGCATGGTTAGCACCCCACAGATGAGAACCATCAAATGCAAATTCTGTGGCAAGTCACATAGGCTAAAGAAAGAAGAGTGCCCTGCTTTTGGCAAAGAGTTCAATTCATGTGGACGGAAGAATCACTTTGCTGTCTGTTGTCAGAGCAAGAGGAGCTACAAACCAAAATAGAGAAGTAAACAGGTCGGAGAGAGAGTCAGTGGACAGCCAGTCTGACTCAGAAACAGAGACTGTTAGCTGCATCAAAGTCTACGATACAGGCACCAATAAGGGGAAGCCATCAGATTGACTTGGGTGCAACAGTCAACGTAATTCCAGAGAAGCTCGTCCCGAAGCAAGAGAAAATTGTGAGGGAAAACCTTACTTTGAAAGTGTACAACCAGACGTGTATCCAAGCAGAGGGAAGAGCTCAAGACGTTAATTCTCTAGATGTTTTCTCCTTGCCTAATGTCCACTTTATTCTAATAATAAATGTCACTATCCTTTAACTTTGAACCTTTCTTCGTGTACCTTGTTCCAACAGCCTGAGCACACTGATCTGATCACTACTGCTATATCAAAGAAGGTACAGTCACTCTGCCCTAACGACCAGGACCTCATCCAGGAGGCAGAACAAATAGCCACGAAGTACAACACTTTGCTAAAGCTGTTTGGGGCATGCCACCGAGGTATGAACACCAGTACATTCCTGGACGACTCAGTCATCGACAAGCTGGGTAAGACTCCAAGAGATCAAGATCATACAATAAAAGTACAATACCTAAATATATTTCTTAACAACTGGCTAAAAGATCATAGAATCTTCGTTGGAAACGAGAGGGAGGCGAGGAAACTCAAAGATCATAGAATCTCCACTGGAAACAAGAGGGAGGTGAGGAAACTCAAAGATCATAGAATCTCCACTGGAAACGAGAGGGAGGTGAGGAAACTCAAAGATCATAAAATCTCCACTGGAAACAAGAGGGAGGCGAGGAAACTCAAAGATCATAGAATCTCCACTGGAAACTCAAAGATCATAGAATCTCCACTGGAAACTCAAAGATCATAGAATCTCCACTGGAAACTCAAAGATCATAGAATCTCCACTGGAAACTCAAAGATCATAGAATCTCCACTGGAAACAAGAGGGAGGTGAGGAAACTCAAAGATCATAGAATCTCCACTGGAAACGAGAGGGAGGTGAGGAAACTCAAAGATCATAGAATCTCCACTGGAAACAAGAGGGAGGTGAGGAAACTCAAAGATCATAGAATCTCCACTGGAAACGAGAGGGAGGTGAGGAAACTCAAAGATCATAGAATCTCCACTGGAAACGAGAGGGAGGTGAGGAAACTCAAAGATCATAGAATCTCCACTGGAAACAAGAGGGAGGCGAGGAAACTCAAAGATCAAAGAATCTCCACTGCAAACGAGAGGGAGGCGATGTCACTATCCTTTAACTTTGAACCTTTCTTCGTGTACCTTGTTCCAACAGCCTGAGCACACTGATCTGATCACTACTGCTATATCAAAGAAGGTACAGTCACTCTGCCCTAACGACCAGGACCTCATCCAGGAGGCAGAACAAATAGCCACGAAGTACAACACTTTGCTAAAGCTGTTTGGGGCATGCCACCGAGGTATGAACACCAGTACATTCCTGGACGACTCAGTCATCGACAAGCTGGGTAAGACTCCAAGAGATCAAGATCATACAATAAAAGTACAATACCTAAATATATTTCTTAACAACTGGCTAAAAGATCATAGAATCTTCGTTGGAAACGAGAGGGAGGCGAGGAAACTCAAAGATCATAGAATCTCCACTGGAAACAAGAGGGAGGTGAGGAAACTCAAAGATCATAGAATCTCCACTGGAAACGAGAGGGAGGCGAGGAAACTCAAAGATCATAGAATCTCCACTGGAAACTCAAAGATCATAGAATCTCCACTGGAAACTCAAAGATCATAGAATCTCCACTGGAAACGAGAGGGAGGTGAGGAAACTCAAAGATCATAGAATCTCCACTGGAAACAAGAGGGAGGCGAGGAAACTCAAAGATCAAAGAATCTCCACTGGAAACGAGAGGGAGGCGAGGAAACTCAAAGATCAAAGAATCTCCACTGCAAACGAGAGGGAGGCGAAGAAACTCAAAGATCATAGAATCTCCACTGGAAACTTAAAGATCATAGAATCTCCACTGGAAACGAGAGGGAGGGGAGGAAACTCAAAGATCAAAGAATCTCCACTGGAAACGAGAGGGAGGCAAAGAAACTCAAAGATCATAGAATCTCCACTGGAAACTCAAAGATCATAGAATCTCCACTGGAAACGAGAGGGAGGCGAAGAAACTCAAAGATCATAGAATCTTCACTGGAAACGAGAGGGAGGCGAGGAAACTCAAAGATCATAGAATCTTCACTGGAAACGAGAGGGAGGCGAGGAAACTCCAAGACAACGCCATAAAGGACAACATCGCCAGGGAATGGTTGCCTCTTCAACAAGGTACAAGCGACACTGGAATAGAGATCAAGCAGCCACCGGTAGTCACAGTTACCAGTCTCAGTGCCCTTGTCAATTAGGACTTGCTAGAGGAATATGACCAGCAAGTTCATGACTCTAATGGATCTGACTCCACTTACAACTTCGATGTCTCTCTGGAGATGCCAAATTGCTGATTTGCAGTCAATGTTATGGAGATGTGTTTTCTTCTTTTGTTGAAAAAAAATTATAGTTATAAAAATAAAAAAATAACCTATAAAATCTGTCCTCCTGGGCTCCACATATCCCTAGGGATCTTCTTAAAGCATTTCAACTTGCTCTGCCAAGCATGTCACACCCTGGACCTGAAGATTGGCCACTCCTAGGCGAAAACTCCTAAAGACTAACTGGAAGCAAAGGAGGCAATCAAACAGTAGCTGAAGAAGCTGAATCTCCAGTCCAGAGTGAAGCTTGCTGAGGAAGAACTTCACGACCTCATGGACCAACACATAATGGTTGGACTTCTTTACCCTGAAGCTGAACCACCCACCCTCATCCTGGAAATGACTGAAGAGAAGAAGAGGGAAATTTAGACTGGTAAGTATCTCAATGTCACACCAGCAGTATTGAAAATATGAGTTGCATACGTTTTAATCCTAAATCATGCATAGATGTACCAAATGCATCTTTAATACAAATTAATATAAAATTAAATATATCAAATCTCTTTTTTATTTGTAAATAGTCTATAATCTCTTTTGTGTCCAGAGGAGGATTTTAGATATTGCCTCCAAAGCTTCTCAAGTCAGAAGGTTACTCCTAAGCAGCACATCCCAGAGAACCTTTGCTCTTGTGGATGGCATCTCAATGGAGAAATTTGAAGTGACGTCAAAGCTGGAACAGTGCATTGCAATAAAAGCTATCAATCAGAAGGAATGATTGCTGTGATGTACATTTCAAATCATTGTATCTAGTGCAACACGACAGGTTTTAGAATCAGCAGTTCTTTCTTTCTGTTTTGCACTAGAAAACAGAGACTACTTGCACTGCAGTGCTCTATTCCTAAGGAGAACGGAGAATTGTCTGCACAAGAGGAAGAGTGGGTATGTTTTTTTAATAAATAGCAAAGCACTGTCCATCATGGCAGTATGAAGGACATGCAACAGATTTTCTTCGAGATCTGCTGCATGATGAAGCTTTGAGCCACAAAGAGCACAAGGAAACACAGAAGAAACTGAAACATCTTGCTCTTGCTCCTGAGCTGGCAAACAAAACCAGCTCTTGAAAGCACAAGTGGAAGAATATATGTTTTTTTTAATAAATAGCAAGACACTGTCCATCGCTAGTATGAAGGACAAACAACAGCTTTTCTTTGAGATCTGCTGTATGATGAAGTTTTGAGCCACAAATAAACCATAGCAGAGCAAAAAAAATCAGTGAAAAAGTCATGGAAACCTCGGACATAAAGTCTTAATTATTTTTCTGACTCACACTTTATTATCTTATAAAGGAAATGTGGAGGCCTACGTTGTCCATTCAGATAATCTTTTTATTATACTACTTCATTCCTATTAAAACGACCCCATATCTAGAGTTCTTATAAATAAAGATAGGATACATGCTGTCCATCTGGATCATATCTCACAGCACTCTGGGTAAGATTGGTAGTCATGGCCTCCCATGTAGACTCCCTATAACAAAATATAAAACAAGACAGAATTGAACAAAAATAGAGTTTCCATCGTGACTGAAATGTATATCAGTACCAAAAACAAACAAAATCAAAGACCAATGGGTGACATTAAAGGGATCCAGTAACTTTGTCTCAGATTCTGAAACAAAATCCTGGATTTAGCTCATGCTGCAATGATAATTATAAACCTTTGGGTCAGTCAGGAACTCCATGACTTTTCAAGCTTATCGCCTTTCTGATTATCAAGATATTTATGATTGGAAATCGATACAAAATTTTGCGCTTTTTGAATGGTTTTCATAACACTACAGTCTATTGGGGAAAACGGAGTATGGTAAAACCGGTCACTCAAATATTTTTAATTTTTTGAGGCACTTCTTGAACATTTTGAAGCGCAATTTGTTCAGGGCTTCAATATTACACCATATTCCAGACACTGATAACATGTAGGGCCATATTTCTCAGATTTAACATTGTTAAACAATGCTTTTAACATTATGGATTCGCTCAAATAGACAAGATATGAAAGTTACAGCAGAATCAAATAATTCTTGCACACTACATCAGTTTGCAAAAAACAGTATTGCACTTTTTGAACAAACACCCACAAAGCATATTTACAGAAGTAAATGTAGTTTACAGAAGTTAAAGGCAGTTATCTAATGCACTTAAAGTAACAGTATACATTTTGTGAGAAAGTGGGTCAACAATTCATCTTTCTCCATTAATCAGTTTCCTCTTTCCTGTCTTTTCCAGTTTCCTAAAAACCTATCAAACCTACATTTACATATTGATAAATGGCAAGTAGAGGTGGAAAGAAGAAGTTGCATCCAACAAAGGCTCCTCAACGTACTCATTTATCTGTAAGGCCCAGCGCACTTTACACATACATGCCAACATTTGAAAATCAGAAATCTGTAAAGTATGTGGTGGGCTTCAGACATAAGATACAGCTATGTGAATCATACTACACTCATGCCATTTAGCAGCAGAAGTTTTTCAAGACTGTCATACACATCAAGTGTCAATGAGGCTTAAATATCGATGATCGCAATGATCTCCTTGTGGGAAATAAGGATACAATCAAAAAAAAAATTCACAAAGTCAGATCATACTTATGAAGCTCATCACCTTTTCATTACATGCGAGACATGAAGAAACTTATGAGAAGGCATTGGAGCGACAGATCTCAGCATCTCCCATGCTTCATTGCCACAAGATATACCACTGAATAAAAAATGAACAATACATTAACAGCATTAAAGTACATTGTATTACAGAAAACTGAAATTTTTAAGACATACCTACAACCTTTAATGAATAAATACTGTATGGGGACAAGCATTTGGCCACTTCAGCAGTTTAAGTAACATACAAACTATATCATCTCACCCTGCTGTCTCATTTTACAGTCGAAGCCGATATTCTCTGTTTTCGTATGCTGTTTCATTAATGCTGATATGGACCGACGTGCACGTAGCGGTCGATTTGCGCATGTAGCTAAACTGGGACAAGTAGACAGCCTACCTAGAACCAGTATTCGGCCTACATCATGCACTGCATGTGGTTTCATTCAGTTTAAAGTATTGCAATTAGTCCACACAGGCCTAAAGACCTTATAGATTAAATTGTTTTATTGCCCCCAACATAGCGATTCTAATTTCAACCTTGAATTCTCAGTCGAGCAAGAATGGTTTCTGACTTTCACACTGCATGTCACATAATGTAATACGGTGAAAATCCCTTAACAATGCCTTAATTAGAATCACTGATGACTGATATATACCTTTTTGTAGTATTACTTGTTATTGGGCACAGTAAGCCAGCCAAGGAGTCTGTGATGTATTTATTCATCATTTTGATATCGACGTTTGCAGCATCACGGTTGCCCTTGGTGATATTTAAGCCTTGGAGATGGTGTAAGACTTCATCATTATGATAGAGGATGACACAATCAGCAAACCTGTAAAACAATAAAAGCAACAGGAATGAAGAAGAAAAATGCATAAATTAGCAATCAATATGAAATTGATTCTATGATTTCTCACAATACATTACTTATAAACCCCATTCAAACTTCGCTTTTTCAGAGAGTAACTTCTCACTGGGGATGGGATGAATAGTCAAAGTCTGTCTTTTGGAGAAATTTCTAAATATATACCTTTTTCATATGCTTTGTACTCAAACATTTGTAAAATGTTAATTTTGTTCAATATTTACGGACACTGATGTTCTGCGATCACAGAAAACGGACGGAATTCACAGAAATGACCATTTGAAACGGAAAATGCAATTTCAAACGGAAAGTCACAGAAAACCCCTTTCACCTCAAAACTTTTAATTTTTTCACGAAGAAAATTGTAAAACTTACACTATTTTTGTGATTTGTTTGGCAGTGGACCAATAGAGATCGTGACACAAAACATGGTACAAATAGCAGTGAATCGATCCTATTATGCCAGCTAGGCGCATACTCATATCATGCGGCTGCGAAGTAAGGCGAGATTGCCGTACACATGCACAGTTCAGCACAATTTTAGTAAAGGGGCTGGCGTGTGCGCCAGCAGCGGGCGCTCAGTGCGGCGAGATTGTATACACGCTGTTGTACAGTTTGAAAAAGGGGACAGCCAAGACTGAAATGTTTTCGTCGGCGTCGGTACTAATCAGCCTGCATCTGTATTTGTATCGTTCCGTCAGGAATATGTCGTGTTCTGACACATCCCGCTAACTTTAGTCTGCTTGTCTAAGTTCGAATTTGATATTGGTATTTTTCACTAGTATTTTGCATCAGGATTATCCAGTCCCGTCCGTCCATTTTTGAGTGGTTATCAGTGGCTTGTCAAAGGTGGCGGCTACATGATCAATACATGTATCAATATTAACAACTGTCAAAGTTTTATTTGTTTTTAGTCAATCAAGTAAATATTTATTAAATGTCTAAATAAAGATCATGAGTTAAAAGTTGTTATGTTTATTACCTGTTTCATGTCAATTTTCTTGTTATTTTTGGAGAATTTATCGGAAAAATGTTGATATAGTATACACTTTTTTTATATATTTTTTAAAACAATTTAAGTTAGTTGTAAAATGTTATTCTTATTCTCAAACAGGACTGTCAACATGGCCACCAAGCCGAAGAAAATGAAGCCTCTTTCAGTTGTCTCTGCCACTACAAGGGCTAGGCAGTTTCCTAATGATTTCTACGCCGACGGGAGTGTTATGTTCTGCAAATATCGCAGTCACAGTGTAGATTACTCAAGAATAGACACTGTGAAGGACCACATGAAAATTTAAAAAACATGTGAAAAACAAAGGATTAAAGTCAGAACCTTTACTAGCTAGATCATCCAAGGGGCCACAACAGCATCAGGTCACTTTGGAAACGGCTATGAAATCCAGAGGTCTTCAAGAACAATTCATATTGGGCTTTGTAAAGTGCTGCACCATGGGTGACATCCCACTGAGCAAAATGGAGAAAATGAGACCTTTCATTACAAGACACTGCCAACAGGGTGGCGCACTTCCAAAAGCAGACACATTGCGCAGTCTTTATGTCCCCCGCCTGTTTGAGATCCACTTCCAAGCCTTGAAGAAGGTTCTCAGAGGTGCAAGACAACAGACATACGGGATTGCAGCATTTCAAACGTACTTGTTGGAGCTCGTGGAAAATATTTCCTCATTGATGTGTGCACAATGGATGCTTGCAACAATGCAACTCTCAGCCAAGCAGTCGTGAAAGCTTTGACAAACGTTGAGGTCCATTTGGATGACGTTATAGCTGTTGTCACAGATAGCGCTGCATATTGTAAAAAGGCAGCCAGAGAAGTTCTTCAGCCTTTATTGTCAAGAAGTACTCGTGTGCCATGTCTAGCTCATATCATTAATGTTGGTGCTGAAGCATTTCAGCATTACCCAGAATTCAGCAGGGTTGACACTTTCGTCAAGAAGGTTAAGTTGGCATTCTTCAATAAGCCAGCATGCAAGAACAGGTACCTCAAATTTGTCAGAGAATATCTGCCAGCTGACCAGTGCATGTTGCCCCCTGTCCCTGTTTCCACGCGATGGAATTCATGGTATAACTCGGTCAAATATCATTCAGAGCATCTTCATGTCTATGAAGGCTTCTTCAAACAGGAGCAGAGCAAAGGTGTGGTTGTTGAAACCATACTGGAGATGTTACAAAACAAGGACATCTACAATGAACTGTACATGAGTTTCATCACTGGACACAATGCCCGCCTCACAACAGTACTCACCAGCCTAGAGGCCACAACAAAACCACTTGCCTGCACCGTTTACAATGTTCTCCAAGATGTCAGAGGATTCCTTGCTGCTGGGATGACGTCATTTGTTGAAACTGACAAGCTGCTGCAAGAAAAACCTACAGCAGAAAGAGGGAAGCTTTCTAAGACCTTTAACAAAGTGTTCAAGGCAGCAGCAGACAAGATCAACAAGCATCTAGACCAACATCCAGTTATGCCTTTCTACAAGGCTGCTCGGATTTTTGATCCGAGACAGCTCGGGTCTATTTCACTAAACATAGACGACTACCAGCACATCATACCTGGTTTGACTACAGAGGCTTGAAAGAATTATGTTTTCCAAGGTGCACTTTGAACTTACTTTTGTAGCCAAGAGAGGCAGAATAGATTGTTGTAATGTTGAAGAGGACTCTCTCCTTGGGTATGCGGAGCTACAGCTATATCCAGGATGTATGCCATGGGATATGTATCTCTCACAGCCTCACAGAGACGAGAACCAAGACCTTGAATACAAGCAACAATTAAAGAATAGTGAACAAGCATTAAAACGTAACAGTAACAACATTCCAACATTTATGCTTTGTCACATAGAAACTTTTATCCAAATCTGACATATTATTACCCGTATCAGACATCTGGGCTGGTCATTTACAAAACCGTATTGCCCTAGTTTTCACTAGCAGTGGGAACGGAGGGGTATATTCTTTGTATTTTCCTTGGTCTCCCTGCGCGTATTGACTTTGCGTGTAGAGAAGAGTGAAAATATACCTTGGTATTTTCCACGGTCTCACATCCGGGCGTCTTGTATTGACCGCGCCGTATTTTGTCATTTTCATTGCGCATCTATTATGCGTACGAGAACCTGTGCACTTTGCGCGCACTCTATTGTGACGTAATAATCACACCAAATGCACACTGTTTGCAGTGTGACGAAAATTGTGTCAAGCCGCGGGATGCACAGTGCTGGTTTGACAAAGTTTGTTCAGTTCTTGAGATTGTCATGGTGGATTTCTGTATTTGCTCTAGATGTCTGATTTGGATAACAATACAAATATTGACTGGCTTAACTTTCGGGGGATATCAGAAATATTGACCGCGCTAAGACCATATTGCCCTCGTCTTTCGACTCGGGGCAATATGATCTGAGCTTGGTCAATATTTCTGATATACCCCTCAAGGCCAGTCAATATTATATAAATATATCACATTCAGGGAAAAAATTAAAAGGAAAGATTTACAACAAGCAGTGCTCAGTTGATGCGCACATCAAGATAATTTTTCCTACCCAGGAAATTAAAATAGGAAAACAAGCATCAAGTTTTGCAAACTACAAAACGTTGAATTTGTTGTTTGAAATATCCAGTTTAAATGCTTGAGCTACATCTATTAGCAAGGATGTTTGTCACGGGATACATAGGGAATACACTTCCATCAAGTTAACGATACAAAATCAATGTGTATACCTGATCCAGTTCCACCACTCAGACTGTGCATCATAACTGTACCACAGAAAGATTCACATCTCTCTACCTCTCTCCTCATGGCTTCAAGGGTTAATTCAACCATGCTTTCACTAGGATTGCTTGATGTCCCATGGTACCCTGAAAACACATCAAATCATAGTTCGATATTTGTTAATAAGTTGAAAAGAGCAAGGTATTGTAGTCGTACCATTGGTAACAAATCAAGATAGAGATTTCATTTTACATTACAATTGTATCAACCTGTTAAATATGATATGAAAATATTTTCCCCGAGACCCCAGACCGATTTCTGATATAGTATTCGGCAAGTTATTAAGTTGACATAGCAAGCTACAGCATGAGCCTGAAGTAGAGCTAATGCGTAATAGGTTGCACGGTGCCTACGGAACCATTTACTACATAATAAAGCAGCCATTGGCTCTCGAAGAGCATGCAACAAACTGTACACATTAAAAACTAGGCCGGTCAGCAAGAGTCGTTGAACTCTACTATGGTCATTTATGAGGTGGTGTGCAACTGGTACATATACGGTCCCTATAGCGGTTGTATAGCTTAATCTATCTTAATAGTTCATATTGCCTTTATGAAGGTACAATGCAGCATATCTGCACTAGTGATTGAATTTGGGACTAATCAACTTACCCATGGCCCAGTTTGTTCCTCTGCCTTGCTTGCTCAGGATGACATTTTCCTCTCTTACAGGAAGTCTCGGGGGAAAAAAAGGATGACATAAAATTTAATTTTTTTAATGTTAATCACATGATTTACATCCTTATCAAATCAATTCCCCTTTTTCTGTGTGTGTCATTACTTTTTTTCTCCAATCATTACTAGTTTGGAGGGGAAAAAATGCCAGTTCTGATAATTTAATAGAAGGTGGATATCACTTGTTTCTTACAATGTTTGGAAGCTGTTTACGCATCGTAGCATAAGACGCTGATACATGTAAAGAGATCAAATTTTATGACAAATGACACTATATAGAGAGTCATTGAGGGGGGAAATGAGAGGCATCAAGCAAAGGACATTCCTTGAAACACTGGCCAGTCAAACACCTGTTTGAACCTTTGAACATTTCATTCTCATGGCCCCTGATTTACAAAATTTGTAACCATAAGTGCATCCATTTTCTTTGAACATGAATAAGAACATCTCCAAGCTCCCTGATCTACCATTTGGGGCTGGTCCAGTTTCCACTAGACTAGAGGAAGTCCTTCAAAGCATGCAGAAGCAGGTGCCACAAGTGCTAGGTATCACCAACTTTTCACTAGTTGGGAAGAAGGAAGAAACAAAGAAGTCAAGCAGTAAATATGTACCGGATCTGACATTCGGCTGACTTGCTATGAACTTCTGGCAAGAGGTGTGTTGAGTCTGAATGTGTCAGATATAATCAGGATTGTCCTTAAAGATGGCTAAAGGAGCACAACATCATAACAGAAGGCAAGAAGAAAATTCAAGAGGCTACAATCATAGGGGAAAACTGAGAGGCGAAATGAGTTCCCCTACAATTCCACAATGAGGAAAGGAAGTAGACCAAAATAGTGAAGACACCACTTGTGAAGGTTTCCTCATTAGAAAAAAAGATCCATGTCCCAACTCAACGAATATGACAAGTGAGTCATTGCCCATCCAATGGAAGCACAAAAAAGGATTCGGAAATAAATGATGTGGTGTGTACTGATTTCTGTTTAGGCACTGTATAATATTCAATAAAACCAACAACTTATTATATCCCCTATTAAATCCATAATTTAAGTGAAAATTTACCTTGTATAGCAGATGCCATAATAAGGACTTAGATATCTCTTTGTCTTTAATACCAATACAGAAAGTTGCATTGGACAAATCACTGAAGGTATCCGAGACAAGTGGTATGATTGCAGCCAGCTTGGATAAAGCCCCGCAAGATATGCATGTCCAGAGACAATCATATCACAGGAAGAGTTTTGTTGGCAACCACATTCACAACTGCCTCCAAATGAGTATGGCATGCTTTTACTACATTTACAAATGCATGGCACCAAACGTGAAGTTGAAAAGAACAAATTCAACCTTTTCTCCTCACAGAATAATGGCATTCAATGTATATCACATCTTCATGTATCCTTATAGCCTGACAACATCAAGAAACTCACCGAAAGAGTAGCTGATACCATGAGACAGCTACATGTATGCCCAGACAAAAAGTGAAGACTCCACTCGTAAAGGTTTCCTCGTTGCAAAAAAAGGTCATGTCACAACGTGACGGATTGATAAGTGAGTCACTACCCATCCAATGGAAGCACAAATTAGAATGGGATTTTTTTTTTCTCACTTAAGTCTTAATTAAATTTACAATATTACTCCATAAAACATACATTGCTTTTGTGGAATAAAACATGTAAATCTAAAATACTAAATACCCTTAACAACTTAAAGACTGCTACAATATTTTAACATTTTGATTTTATTTTTTCCTCTCTTCTTCACAGGCTGAACCTTCTATCCTTTGAGTATTAAAACAAGAGGGGAAGATTGGCTAAAAGAAGGAGGGGATAAGGGAGGTTCTTCCTTTCAGATGATGCTGCAAATATGGAAATGTGTCCCGACCTAACAGTGTACAGAACACCATAATTGTCCTTATCTTTAATGCTGTAGACAACATATTTAATCTACAGCAGACATGTCAGGGGTTTTCTACTGAGGTAGAACTACTAACAACCAAAACATGGAGGTACAGTTGTCCATGTCTTGTCCATGTATGTACCAGTTGCCGACCACCTCATAAATGACCATAGTAGACTTCAATGATTCTTGCTAACACACCCAGTATTCAGTCACATTCCATATTCGGCCTTACAGCTGTTTCAACAGTTGTTACAAACTCATGAATAATTCATCAGCCGCGAAAACTTGCACAAATTAATGATAATGATAATGATAATGATGGTGATAGTGATAATGATAATAATAAAGATAACGAAAATGATGTAGATGATAATATTAAGATGGTAGTCGAGAACAATCAACAAACTTCATTCAAGGACGGAATGCCAGGACAGAAGTGGTTGAAGGGATTCTTTAGAAGACATCCTAAGCTATCTGAGAGGAAGCAGGAGCTGCTCGGTGGGGAACCTGCTATAGTTACCACCGACAAGATCGACAAGTTCTACACAGACTTACATGCCTACCTCGAGAGCAAAGGGTGCTTATAAATCCTCTGTTCACCCCGCCGCATATTCAATTGCAACGAGACAGGATGTCCTCTCAGCGGGAAGATGTGCCGTGTTATAGCAACAATAGGTAGTCGTACAGTAAGCTCAGTAGGGTCCAGTAATAAATCTCAGGTCACTGTATTAGCGACAATAGCTGCATCAGGTGATGTGCTGGCAATGGTTGATGGCAATGGTTAAGGAAAACCCACTGGAAGATGGCCCGACTGGAGCTTTCCTAGGTATGAGTGAGACTGGGTGAATGAACAGTGAGGTGTTCTATGAGTACGTCACCAATAGTTTCTTGCCATGGTTTGAGCAGCATAACATCCCAAAGCCTGTACTACTGTCGACGGGCACAGTAGACATGTGAGCTACCATGTTGGTAAGCTTTGCAATGAGTCCATAGTCGAGCTGTACCCTCTCCCAGCCCCTGCAAGCCACATCATCCAACCCTGCGATGTGTCTTTCTTCAAGCCATTGAAAACAACATGGGCTAGGGCTGAGCGTTTCTATCGCCAAGACCATCTTGGCAAGTTTGTGACGAAGTACACCTTTGCAAGCATCTTCAGAAGACCTTGGGAAAAAGTTACTAGGAGGAAGGAGCTAGTCCAGTCGGGTATCCGAGCCGCCGGGATCTTTCCGTTTAGGAATTATGCAAAAGAGAAGCTGGCTCCTGCATCTGTATACAGGGATGGCTGCACATTGTCTGCCACATGGATTGGAGGATCTTTCAGACAAAGAGATCGTGGCTCTAGATTTCAAATGTCATTTCTGTCAAAGTTATACAGAGAAAACAGTTTAAATTTTTTTTTTTCCAAACTTGTATTTAACCTGTTTGAACTTTAAACAAGTTGTTTACAATATGAACTGTTCACCATAGTAGAGTTCAATGACTCTTGCCAACCATCCTAGTTTTGTAATGTACAGTTGGTTGCCTGTGTGCCGAGAGCCAATGGCTGCTATATTATGTATGCAACCTTACACATAGGCTCCCAGAAATGATTAAAAGAAAGAACATGAAATTCTATCTTTGCTGTAGGTGACTGTAACAAGTTGGTTTGCTAAAGTTGGAAGTAACTCATACTTTCTCCAAAATCCATCTATAAATACCGTTGAATCCGTTAAGATTTGTAAATTTGCTCATCATATGAAAGCACAAGTCCTGTTGCCATTTCAACTTAAAATAGTTATTCACTAAAGCGTTAATAGAATCTTGAACAGACGTAAATGCTGAGATGGCGCTATATACACAAGTTTCGGATCTAGTTTAGATTGAGCAATTAATTAAACTATGCAAAGATTTAGTTAATGCATGTATGATGGTCTCTGCTATTTTAATCACAATGGTGATAGATTCTTAAAATTTATAATTATGATGATGATGGTGATGATGATGGTGGTAATGATGATGATGATAATTATGATGATGTTGGTGATGTTAATTGGTGGTTGCAAGAATGATGTTAGTAATTATGATTATGACGAGATGATGATGATTCAGAAAGCGTCAATAAGCAAGGGGATTTAGGATGACCCAAACCCAAATAAAACAAATCGAGAAAATTCAACGGATGGCGACTCGCTTTAGCGCTGAAGCAGAGGCGTGGTGAGATGCCGTACGATGAAAGATTTCTGGCACTTGACTGGTCTTCACTCTCTTTTCGTAGGGACTACTTGTTATGTTCATTTGCTTATAAGTGCCTTTCAGGCTTATGAGACTGTCAATCCCTTCAGGAGAACATGTCTATGAAGGCTTCTTCAGACAGGAGCAGAGTGAAACCATACTGGAGATGTTACAAAACAAGGACATCTACAATGAACTGAAACTGTACATGAGTTTTATCACTGAACAAAGTGCCCGCCTCACAACAGTACTCAACGGCCTAGAGGCCATAATGAAACCACTTGCCTGCACCGTTCGTTCGTGTCTCCTTAGATCAAGATTACTGTAATCTTGATCTTCGGAGTAGTTGCTACAACCGGCCGTGTCAGACACGTTGCCCCGGGGTGCGAGATAGGACTCTTGTAGCGTGCCCCCATTAAAAACAATTATACAGTTACAGTTAACAATACATTTAATTAATAGTATGAAACTATTAAAATTACTCTCATGTTACGAGAAAAAATATTGCATATACATATATTATGAATCAATTGATTTGGTCGATCCAGTTAGATGGCACAAACACGGCACTACTGGACAGAGATCCTAATAATTACAGAGCTTGGTCTTGTTGCTCTGTTCGCCAGCAGTTTAAGGATATGGAATCCCGCGGCACATTACTCACAAGAGTTCTAACAAGCCAAGCTTATACAGAGCCTATAATAAGTAATGTCGTACATGTACCACCCACCCGATCGATCAAAAACTCATAACTCATAACTGAAAAAAAGTAAAAAGAAGAAAAAACAAAAAACAAACACGAAATGGTAACCATCTAAAATTTCATAGTTGTGATAAATATCTATAAAGATTTATCAAGCACCAAAAATAAATAATATCATGTTCAAGAAAAGGATATATACACTTTGTATTCTTCTTTCGTGTCCTCAAATGCTCTGCCAGGCCTTGGCACACTGGAGAGCCTTCTCATTTGCTGCCACCAGGTCTTCCAGGCAGCATTGGTCGATTAGGAGTGGACATCTTAATAGGTGTGACATGGATTGCACGGATGTTCCACACTCGCAGTTGGTGTCTGTGTCGTCAGTATATCCCCATTTATTCATGTTGTATTTACATCGCCCCACACCTGTGCGAAGCCTATTGAGGGACTTCCACGTCTTCCAATCACATCTATGGCCAGGGGGCAGCTGTTCCTTGGTCGGGATTGGTAGCTTTTCATGGTGGTGGTTTTCAGCACCGTTTACAATGTTCTCCAAGATGTCAGAGGATTCCTTGCTGCTGAGATGACGTCATTTGGTGAAACTGACAAGCTGCTGCAAGAAAAACCTACAGCAGAGAGAGGGAAGCTTTCTAAGACCTTTAACAAAGTGTTCAAGGCAGCAGCAGACAAGATCAACAAGCATCAGGACCAACATCCAGCTATGCCTCTCTACAAGGCTGCTCGGATTTTTGATCCGAGACAGCTCGGGTCTATTTCACTAAACATAGACGACTGACCAGCACATCATACATGGTTTGACTACAGAAGCTCTACAGGAATGGCTAATGTACACCAACCTAAACCCATCAGAAATCCCTAACCCTCTTGATCTTGACCATTTCTGGGAGGTCGATCTTGCGAGAATCGCTATGGATGCCATGTGGATGCCGGTATTAAGTGTTGACGTGGAACGTAGCCTTTCACAGTACACTTGTACAAACATATCCTGAATGACAAAAGAGAGAACTTAACGGCTGAAAACACAAAAATGATGACCATGCTGTATTCCAACAGTGATGTTGAAAGGCAGTTTTAAAACTCTTAGGTCTGAACTGTCACAAAACTGCACAAATGAGAAAACAGAATTATGGTAAAATTATGTGCACAAGTCCTTAATGTTTTGTTTCAGTTTTTTATCACAATTTATAGTGCATGTATTATGTAACATTTTTTTCTCCTTTTAAATTTCCATAGGAAATGCACTGAAAGAATTTTTATACAGATACAGTAACATGTACATATTATTTTTTGTTGTTGGTTTGTCATGTAAAATTCCTTTTTGATCCGGTCATGATAGTGAAATGCAAGTCGAATACCTGAATTTCAACTGACTCTTTAATGTTAGAACCTTTAATAAAACATTTGTACCCTACAAGTTCATGTTTGTATGCAAATCTTATGTAAACAGATTTTTTTCCCCTTTTTTTCATGTGTACAAAGTCTATGGCAAAACAGAATTTACGTTTTTCAGCCCATCTGAAACGGAATTCCAGATTTTCTGAAACGGAAAAAGCCATTTTTGTAAACGGAAAATCAGTGTCCCTACAGAAGGAACAGAGGAACTATCACTCTAGCTTGGAATTCATTCCAAAAATCTTCTTCAGTTCAGAAGCCTATATAAACAGAGCATCCAAATGAATTAGCTTGCAGCTACCCTAGCATCCAATTTTAAGTCCAAGCAACATTAGTGCCCTCAGACTCAAGAGTGGGTTTTTTTGGCAGATAACACTGTCAACTCTAAAAGAAAGTATACTGAAACCTGACAATGTCAACATGTTGATTTTGCTTTCACTAACTTCAGTCATTGAGTGACTGGCAAGCGAGAAATGCACAGGAATCAGTGAAAACAAAAGAAAATGCACAAACATTTGTTAGGCTAGATGTGTTTATTTATGCATTAATTTCTTCTCGTCTTGATTTCAGAAATGCTCTCCTGTTCAACCTGTCTCATAATCAGCTTGCCACATTACAAAACTTGCAGAATGCCACTGCTCGTATACTATTGTTACGTATTGTTACCCCTCCAACAAACACAGTCACATCACACCGGTTCTCAAGGAACTCCACTGGTTACCCATAAATATTTATTGTTTCAAACTTCCTTTGCTTATGCTTCATTGTGTTCATGGCTCTGCTCCACAGTACAATATTTAATTAATTACTATACCACCTGCCAGATCTTTAAGTTCTCAAAACTCTGGCTTGCTTGACCTTCCAAAACTTAATACAAAGTGGGGAGAGAGAGCCTTCTCTCATGCCAAGCCATCACTCTAGAATTGTTCACCTCGAGGGGGTCAGAGATATTCCTACAGTGGAATCTTTCAAAAGCAACCTTAAAACTTATGTTTTCCAGTTTGATTTTAGTTGATCTGATTTTTCTTCTTTTTGTGTTATATTGTATTGTTGTACAGTATGTTTATGTATTTTCATGTTTTGCACTAGTGCGCCTTGAGAATTTAATATTTTTAAGTGTCACTCTGTTTGAAGAGGTGGGTTTTTAACATACCAACAATTGTACAACATCGTGTTCATGAAAGCTGCTAATACAGCAACCTAATTATCATATTATGCAAAGACTTCTTGTTTTCCTTTCATAATTGTTATTAGCCACTGTGTATATCTCCACTTTCATCTTTAATACATGCAGGACTTAATGATGGCAAGTGTACACTGTATGTGTAAATTCAAGAAACAATTGTTTATTTTTTTACATGAAACTTACTGTTTACTATTTCTCAATAGCTTAGCAATCACTTTCTTCTCTGTGTCAACATGGAGCGATGGAAGCTTCTGATCTCTCCGGTAAAAGGTGCGCCTACAAAAAAAAGATAGCAAGCAAAGGGCACATACATGAAGCAGATAGGAGAAATAAGCAATCAGGCACAGGGTGTGGAATACATGTATAAAGTGGAACAGAGTGATACAATTAGAAAAATGCAGTTTGGTCAAGAAATGAATTTTAATTTCATGTTTTTAATAATGCTGAATGGTTTCATGGATGTTTATCTAGTCAAGTTTGCATCTCATAACTCTAAAAAGTTAGTTCAACTTAATTGCATGGAATAATAGCAAAGTTTGACAGCTATATTGCACAAGAAATATCTGACTGGCCTGCATTATAAATAAAAAACAACAGCAACAAAATCATCCTGATTTCAGTGATTACTGTCAATGAGTCCACATTAAGTTCACCCCAACACTAAACAGATTTTAATAAGATTCTTCTGTGCTACTATGTTAGTGAAAAGTTATTACAACTATACCTTTGGGAGTCAAACTAAGGATTCTATTTCTTTGTTTGATTGAAAATTTGGGCTTTAATTATTTTCTGTGAGAATAACCTAAAACAATATCTGTTTTTAGGAAGAGATATTAAAGAAGCATTTTTAGTCCAAATGTCCCATCCACAGTACAGATGGTAGTAAGGTTTTCACTGATTGGATGTATTTTGTTTTATCATTATTTCTCAATTAACTTACTTGGCCTCTTCATCTTGTTGAACAAGTTGCCAGAATTGTTGGCCTAGTTGGTTGCCACACTGACCCACATGGAGAAACACTGTTGACATCCTGCCTTTTGTACTGAAAAGGGAAATGATATCAATTAATAAATGAAATGCATTACTTAAACTAAAATTAAGTAAACTGCAATTCAGGGTCAAAATGTATTTTAACCTTTTGAGACAAGCATTCATAAAGTTATGGTTTGGCTTTGTAACTTTCAATGCAGAGCCATAAAAATAAAAAAACATGCATGAAAAAATGGCAATTTTGGCGTACACATTGCATCAGAGGTCAGCATTTCTGTAATGCATATCGCATGTCATATTACAGAATGAACAGACGGAAGGTAAGCAAGGGCTGTCACTCTGGTTCTCATTTTTTTTTGTGCTCACAGATCACTGGAGTGGTACTCCATCAATTGCCCTGCTAGAGGCTATTCGCTACCATATTGACATCTCTGACAAGACTTATAAAAATTGCGCTTCCTAACTGTTTTTCATGCACTGCATCTTAAACTTCCCAATCATCTAGACACCCTCCTCAAGACATTGAGTAAACATGTCACCAAAGCCAAGAACACTGGAAATATCTGGTGTCTGATGCAAGAATTCTAATATTTCTTATTTTCTTACCCCTCGCCAAGCAGGGTCACCTTGTACAGCATAATCGCCCAACACAAATGCCATGATTATAGAGATGCATCAGTATCATGCCAGACACCATGCAACATGGCAAACAGTTGCCAAGGTCTCGTGGCAAGACCTCTTCAAGACTGAAAGTCCTCCTGCAGGCACTATTCAGAACAGCTGGACATCTCTAAGTATTAAAGACATGACAGCAGCTAAGAAAAGAGGCTTTGTGTGATTTCCTCAGTCAGCCATATATTGTGCCGAGTCGGAAACCTGTGCATATTGAAGCTTAAGCAGAGTCAGAAGCTGAGGAACAATCAGGAGATGAGAGTGACATGGATAATTATGATGTTATATCACCAGAAATTGTTATACAGTAGCAGAGTGCCAAAAATTGAGGGGGAAAAAAATTCAACATCTTAAAAACAAAGTGGAAGACTTGGAAAAGGATAGGAAAGGTAAAGGAGATCTATACAAGGAGGTATTACATGGTCACAGCTGATGGATTGAAATCAGCAAAAACTGATCAGCAAAAGCAAGAGTCAACTTGAGCAGGAAAATGAAGATTTGAAGTGGCCTCATTTGAAAATGAGAAGTACACATCCGACATTCGACCGACTTGCTATGAACTTCAGGCAAGAGGTGTGTTGAGTCGGAATGTGTCAGATGTAATCAGAATTGTCCTTATAGATGTGGCTAAAATGAAAGTCTGCCGTTTGCCAAAGCCAACGCTCATCCGCTATCTTGCAGTAGAGCAGGCTATGCTGAATAAGGAGACTGCAAGATACAAGATGGCATCGTCTGACAACCCATTCACGTTACACGTAGATGGCGCCTCAGAAAAAGAAAAAGGGATATACAACATTCCTGGCCTCGGCCAATTCTGGAACTGTTGGTATGTGTCTCCATGATATCAACTTGGAAAGTGCTGATGTACTTCTTCAAGAAACGGAAGAGACACTTAATGAGTTGGTTTCACTCAACTTGACAGCAGACACACATCAAGCAAGGACACTTCTTTCGAAAATCAAGAAAACAATGACAGACATGTGTGTAGTGAACAAATGCTATATTAAAAAGCTTGAGAAGTTTCGGGCATCAGTCCTAACCAAAGTAACAGACAACTGGGCTGACATTGGTGAAGATTTGAAAAAGCAATTATAGCTACCATCAGTGATCTGTAATGTGGCAAACACTTTGTCCTAAAGTTACTTCAAGAATACGACTCTGCTGCCCTACTTGAGTGGGAGAAGATCGAAAACAGCAATAGAAAGCTTGGTAGGGAAAAGAAATTGCTGTGGACCAGACTAAAAAGCAAGTCTGCATCTCTCCTCACCGTCAGAACTTTCTGTAATTTCCTTGGTCCAGATTATGATGCTCAGCCTGGTATGGTGGAGGAGTTTAAGACTAGAATCTATAGTCCCATCCTCTCATCTAATTGCATACTGTGGAAATTGATTTCATGTACCACAACAGCACCGCAGTGATCTACCTATGTGCTTCCCTTGATCTAAACGGGAGGAGAATATGTTCATCAAATGGGGGGGGGGGGGGGGGGGGGGGGGGGGGGGGGGGTAGTGAGCACTTCAATTTTTTTTCTTACTCAACACCCCCCCCCCCCCTTCCCTGTTGAGACGCAAAAAGATTGCATACGATCTAGACCCAAGACCAGGTTCTATCTGATCTCCCTCGAGCTAAGTTGACAGCCCTGCTTTTTTAAATTTTATAGACCTAGATCTAGTCTAGTCCTAGACCGAAAGCTTCAGTCTCTATACCGTCGGTTGTTCCACTGAGACTACGTCTGGCTCCACTAGACCTCCGGTTATAGAGACAGATTGATCGCCTATGCCAGCCTATGTTGAAGATATCACGGCTAGATTTTAGCCGTTAGGCCCCTCCCACAAACATGAACAAACTTGCCACGGCCGTATTGTTATGCCCCCAAAATCCCCCAAAATGTCATTTTACATCGTGCATATCCAATTTTACATTAGGCCTAGGCTATAATACATCGGTTCCACTTACTAACTTGATTGAAATAATCCGTTTAATGGTCCCTTTTAAGGAAATTATGGGTCAAAATCGACATCCATGTTGAAAATCTTGCAAGCCGTGTTAAACTCTCGCTGCCGTCAATCTCATCCCTTCTAGTCTACGCCGAAGGCAAAAATGATTATGAAGGAAAAACTGTGATAACGCCATTACGAACGTGTAGATGGCGCATAGTTTTTCCCTTATAATCATTTTGCCTTCGGCGTAGACTAGAAGGGATGAGATTGACGGCAGCGAGAGTTTAACACGGCTTGCAAGATTTTCAACATGGATGTCGATTTTGACCCATAATTTCCTTAAAAGGGACCATTAAACGGATTATTTCAATCAAGTTAGTAAGTGGAACCGATGTATTATAGCCTAGGCCTAATGTAAAATTGGATATGCACGAGGTAAAATGACATTTTGGGGGATTTTGGGGGCATAACAATACGGCCGTGGCAAGTTTGTTCATGTTTGTGGGAGGGGCCTAACGGCTAAAATCTAGCCTTGATATCTTCAACATAGGCTGGCATAGGCGATCGTTCTGTCTCTATAACCGGAGGTCTAGTGGAGCCAGACGTAGTCTCAGTGGAACAACCGACGGTATAGAGACTGAAGCTTTCGGTCTAGTCTAGTCCTAGTTCACTAGCACTCACACTTATCACAAGACACAGCACTTTTCCGTCTTCAAGTTTTCAATCTTTATTAATAAATGGGAACAAATCTCTTAGTTTCACCACACTCCATGATCCACACATACTAGGCCTAGATCTCCATTCTAATTACTAGATCTAGACTAGATCTACTGTTAGATTTACTGTTTCACAACTAGAATATGGGGCAGCTATATGGGATCCATATCGGCAAAACCTGATAGATAGCCTTGAGAAAGTTCAGAGGAGGGGGATACGCTTCATCACAGGGAATCACAGCCGAGAAGACAGCGTCACGGCTATGCGATTGAACATCAGACTCCCAACTCTACAAGAGCGACGACTGGAATCACATCTAGCCATGATGTACAAGATCCTCCACCACCAGATAGCCATCCCTCTTGCAGATTACATCTCACAGAAAGACAGAGCTACAAGGAGTCAACATCACCTTCGTTTCACCAGACTTGGTACATCCTCCGATTCTTACAAATACAGCTTCTTTCCTCGCACCATGAAAGACTGGGATGAGCTTAATTCCTACAAATATCATTGAGCTGCCCACATCGAAGCAGTTCAAGGAAGCCATCAGCTGCGAATAGTCACAGCATCATCATTATTTTTATGATTTTTATGATTTTTATCATTTTACTTGCACCATAAACATGTATAGAGTAGTGGCTCCGGTCTGCGGCCGATCGGCGGGAACTGCCGATTCTATTTTTACTGAAATACTCACAGAATACTTCAATACCCTCAATAAAGAGTCCATATACTTACTTATTAAATAGAAGTCACAAATAACCTAACTGACCCACAGCGTGGTCAGCATTGACCACGTTTCGAAATGCTTCGAGTTCCCCGGTTTGCGGGCACACATTACCGGTTTGCGGCACGCGTACGTCACAAAGCTTTATGCGCTACGTCACGATGAAAGCATGTACTAGGGTGTCTGATCGCGCACCCGATGTTGTGTGCTAAAATTCTTCCCATAGAGATTACACGCATCCCTATGCAGCCTACGTGCATTGCGCGACCATGCAAAAAAAGTCAATTTTTTTTTTTCAAATCGAGATTCAAACCTTTATCAGTTGTGATCCTGAAGGTGATAATCAATGAATGAGGTGTCATATGAAAGAGCAGGTGAATTCCAATATTTCCAAAGGGGCGTAGCCCCCGAAATTCTAAAAATATCTTGGTCAAAACAGCAATTTAAACATTGTGTCCTGGCTAACTCTGAGGTTTGTCACTTTTGAGATATGACGCCCCGATCGATAAGTAGTCCCAGTCCTAAGGAACAATTCTATGTGATTATATTTTCGCTAGCCCCCAGGGATCACAACTGATAACAGTTTAAAAATACCCTTCTCGCTATTTGGTGGATCAGCTAATTAGGAGGCGTGCGCTCCGCTCAGTCCAAACCATGGTTACATCGCGTAACATCTCCGCGCACGAACGAAACCCCAAATTCAATTACACGTTATAGTGACTGAAATTATGGTTGGCAATTCCCTCGATAAACCCGGAAGTGAATACACGTTATAGTCAATGGCAATATCGCGGAGACAACGTGCGTTGTCTCCGCGATATTGCCATTGACTATAACGTGCATTCACTTCCGGGTTTATTGTGCGACGAACGCCAACCATACTAGTCAATCGCACATGTCGCGGAGACAGCGTAGCTCAAGCTGCAAGTCGCGGATTGGCTTAGCAGCATGCGTACGATATGCATACGCTTGCATATCGCGCGATACAGCTGTTTGGCTAAATTTAGCAAAACAACATCACTCTGCGTGGACGTCTTTTTCGTCGATTTTGACCAAAATGATATGAATATACCAGCGTGTTGGAGGGGCTGTAACTTTTGATAGAAACATCGGTGAGACTTGAAATTTGAAATGTATTATTCTGATAACATTTTTTATTCAAATATCAAACAAAAATGGTGAAAAACGATCCCAAATTGAAAATTGAAAAATCGTTCAGACACCCTACATGTACCAAATTACTACGGGTAACCCAAATTCTCATGTTTATCTGTTGCTACGGTAAATTTGTTAAGTTTTAAACAATTTCACCTTTTCCTCGAATGGATCATCCCACTCGGGGGTACGTACTACTAGAAACTATCGGGTCATAGCGGGTACACACATCAGCACACATACCATCATACACGATCCCGCATGTTATGTGTGTATTAACACCCCCCGCCGCAAACCAGAAAAACACGTAATTACGTGCCGGTTTGCGGCCACCCCATGCAACAGGCCATGCGGTGGCACAATCAAAATATCTGCGATAGGAGACAGACCACAGCCATCATACTTCCACAAAAACATCAAATTTCACCTCCAATCGGACAAATATCGGACAAATAGAGCTACAATATTGATCTAGAGGTCTAGTCATGCCTCGATCTCTTAACTTAAAAGTTAGCACCTGCTGGAATTTTCATCGGCGACTGGTGCCGTAGATTTCCGACATCGCTGACGGATACTCTGTACCGACAGGAGCACCTGCTACGCCTACGGACGTTTTCGGCAAAGCAGAACTTACCGTGGAATCCACGGTAGGTTTCAATGATTATTATCGAGTCATATTCATTTTATTTTTAAAACAAATAGATCTAGGTCTAGTCTACCCCTGGCCGCAAACCGGGCGATGCCGCAAACCGGAGACTCTACTCTATATTTCGGCACAAATTCACACAAGCCGTCCACCGTCGGCAGAAGATCACCCTTGTCTAGATGCTGAACAGGCTTTGACAAGTTGTAGAATAGAAGTAGAAGTTAGTGTTAATTTAGCCTAGTAATAGTGACCGACAATGCAATGTGACACATTTCTACACACACTTTCACAAACTCATGCCATGACTTGGTCTATAGACAGAGTTGAGTCATCATTCATTTCCATTGATTGAGGCCAGGGTTCGATTCATCATAAATTCATGGTCATTTCCTCGATTACTTCAATGATATGCAATCTTCCTAGCATTGTCGTTATTAGTATTAAATATGTATTTATATATTTTATCCATAAGCAGTATAATGTGTCTTCAAAAGATATATTTACCCACATTTTGAGCACCTTTCTTGAGCGTTCTCCTTAGAAGCTGGATCAGACGACAGTCGTCTATTTTATTTTGTTGACAATTTTCTAGACTTTGTTCAAGGTCGACCAGGGAACTGGAACGTCTGACATTTACATCGTAGATCTATTTCATAAAGATGTAATCACATAATCCACTTTTTCACATTTTTAAAAAAGTTCAAATCGATAGAAATTTTACTCAATTGTTAACATTTGTATATATATTAACATTTCAAATCATTTTCATGAACCTTTAAAACCCTTGGTTCTTGGTGAAAAATATCAACGACTAGTATCAAGGCCGTGTGCGTACACCGTTATTTTCAATATCCCTCGACAGAAAATACACCGAAACCACTATTTTTTCTTGTTTTCATGGTTTTAGTTAGGACAGGATGACTACTTCTAACCCATCACACCTTTTACCACTTGGTAAGCTCCTTTGAATGTAAAAAATATGTTATATTATATTCAATTATCAATGCAATTAACTCTCGTGAGCTAAATACAGTCAATTCAGGCTCCGAGATGAAACCGACGCTGAGTACCGAGCGTAACTCTGTACCCTTGCCGTGGGACTCCGCTGGCATGGAGAACGACTCCACGTGGGCATGGGCTGCAGAAACGCCTGCGACGCTCTTTCTTGGATGTGTGCATGTGTGGACTGAGTTGTGGATGGCGCTGGCCAGTGCAGTGCAAGTTGTTGTTAAGATTAATAGCGTTTCCATATTGTTGTTGGATGATTTTCGCCAGGCAATGTGAGACGGCGTAGTTACTACCACTGGGCACAGGTGTTGTGACTTAACCGTGTTGTGTTTGTTTTTAATTTTATTGCGTTTTTCATCGTTTTTCATCGTCGTCGGATGATTTTCGCCAGGCAATGTGAGACGGCGTAGTTATCACTTACCTATAGGCCTACCTGCTTACTGGTGTCGGGACGTGACAGTGTTGTATTTGTTTTTGTTGTGTTTGTTTTTATGGCGTTTTTCGCCGGGCAATGACAAGTCACAATGTAGATCTAGATCTAGACTAGTACTAGTAGAAGTCTAGATCTAGATCTATGTACCTGATGTGAGACTGAGTGGGACTGAGTCTGAGACTGAGAGGACATAGTTTCGTATTTTTGCTAGGTTATTTTGCTCTGTTATTTTGCTCTGGTTCGTAATGTTATACTTATAAACCAGAGCAAAATAACACTGAGTTCCTGTCTGAACGATTTTTCAATTTTCAATTTGGGATCATTTTTAGCCATTTTTGTTGGATATTGGATTTGGAATAAAAAATGTAGATCTAGATCTACCGGTAATCAGAATAATACCTTTCAAATTTCAAGACTCACCAATGTTTCTATCAAAAGATACAGCCCCTCAAAAACTCTGCAATATTCATAGCATTTTGGTCAGAATGGACAAAAAAGTGGTTCACGCAGAGTTATAATTTTTGCTCAAAAGCTGCACAGCTAAAAAGTAATGCACAGCACGATATGCAAAGTGTGGAGTAAGGGTATTTTCAAACTGTTGGGGCTAGTGATCCCTTGGGACTAGAGAAAAAATAAGTGCATGGATATATTCTTTACAGCTGGCCCAACTTATCCCTCGGGGGAGCACTTCGTGAAATTGGTAAATCTCTGAGTTACCATGGAAACAATGTTTAAATCGCTGTTTTGAGCAAGATATTTTTAGAATTTTGGGGGTGGCCCCTATGGGGAATATGGAGAAAAACCTGCTCTTTCATATAATATGACACCTCACTTATTGAGTATCACCTTCAGGATCACAAGTAATATTGGTTTGAAACTCATTTTGGTAATAAAAACATCGACCAATTTAGCACGAGCATGCAATGCACATGGACTGCATAGGGATGTGTGCAATCTCTATGGGAAGGATTTTAGCGCACAAAATTGAAGAAAAGATTGAGAAATTCTAAAAATAGATTGTTGTTATGATGTCACAGCTTCGGTACTCTATACAAACCCTAATGTGACACCTTGGCTTGAGGCTAAACAACTTCTTCAAGTTCAAGATCCTATTAAATGATTTCCAAATCTTGAAGTCTGGGTAGACAGTAAAGTCTAAAAACTCTAACCCCATCAATCGAAAGGTAAAAAACAATTTTTTTCCTATGATTATGAAAAAGCTTTTTAAAGACTAAAGTTAAAGTTTTCTGTGTGCTTGTTCTTTGATTTTATTTTGCAGAGCTTGTCGACAAGTGCATCGGCTCCAGAATACACATTGTTATGAAGACAGATAAGGAGATTGTTGGAACTCTTCTGGGCTTTGATGACTTTGTCAGTATCCTTGAATTTAAAGATCAAAGGAATGTCTGTTTAGTTTTGTATCATGAAAAATAAAGTTAAAAATTATATTTTGAATTGTACATTTAGAAGTTGGATGGTGAACACTCAGTTGTAGCTTAATAATCAACAACGTTTTGTTTGTATCACTTTGATTGATATTGATTCAAATACTTATAAAATCATTTATTTGTACTTGTTTTTATTTTCTGCACAACCATCAACACTTGACAAGGACTTTGGGACATTTGCTTGTAAAATAATACTGACCGTCAGGGATATCTATTCAAAGTTTGTATATATTGCAAATTAGATTATGTGAGGTTTATCCTTGACTCAATGCTTTTTAATTAGACATGGTACTTGAAGACGTCGTAGAGTTGTAAGTATATTCTTCACATTTTTCAGTTCAAGTCAGGGTATGTGGAAGTGTTATGATGTAGTGCTCACTGCTCAGTCATTCACTTGAATTTCAATCAAGAGGTTTTGGGTTCAAAACCCAGCCCAGCAAATCTGTTCTTTAATCCATGAGGAGTCGCGTAACTTCCACAGGAGCCATTCTCAATCCAGTTATTGGGTACCTGGGCTAGGATGAATCAATCCCTTGAATGCCAGAAGGTTGAAATAGCCTTCATGGTAAAACTGGGCTTATAATAATGCACCAGGAGTATCATTTGTGCCATTGGTATTGGTAGAAGTAGAAGTAGAAGTATTATTAGTAGAAGTAGTGTTGGTGGTATTAATTAAAAAATATGGAACAAATGTCATTGTTTCTACAATAAAACTTATAAGACACTATGATATCGTTGCTGAGAAAGGGTAAATATTCTCCACTTTATGGGTTCATTTCGGTATCTTCTCAATAGAATAGACCGTACGAAAGAACAGGACTACCATGAAAAACCAAGCTTTGAGAATATATTACCGGTAGCTTAAAGGTAATTTTTATATTGAGGAACATTTTGAACAAGTTTTAAGCTGACGGTACAGTAAGATGAACAGATGTAAAAATACCATGTCTTCTTCTTTTCTTACAGTGAAACCACAGCAGAGGGTAGGAGAGTCACCAAGCTAGATCAGATTCTCTTGAATGGGAACAATATCACCATGGTGAGTTATTTACGTGTATATAATCAGATGGCTTTGAGCAAATATGTTGTTGACTTAAATCAACAATGTTATTAATGCCTTTTTTAAAACTCTCCATAGACAATACCATTGAAATAAGTAGTACAATATTTAGGATTTAGGAACTATTGTATACAAGAAATGTGAATTTTCTGGGTGCCAGCCGAAATTTCTTTACAAAAAGAAATGTGAATATGATGTTAATGGTGGGTATTGACTATGAAGAGTATTGGTATAGTTGATTAAAACAAATATATGATCAATTCAATGATACTCTCACCTCCAAATGCGAGGAGGCTCTTTTAGATGAATGGTAATAAAGACTAACAGCAGGTATTAGCCAGGCAGTCCAAAAGACAAAGTGACTTTAATGGAAGAGGAAGCTACAGTATACACACAACAAGAATCAGAAAATTGTATTATTTATAACCTAAGCCAGTAGCCTACAAATTATTTTCCATGTACATTCCTATTACATTGGACCATAAGCTTCTGGTTCCCCAGCTTTTGTTTTACTCCCAGTCAGGATCAATGTTCTTGCAAAGCCTGTAGTTGTTTGTAGGCAAATGGCCAATGACGATTATTTTTTAATGAAGAAATTTGTTCTAATATTACTTATAAGATTTACAACAAAATGTTTCAGCTGGGCCTAGTACATGTATCTAAGTAATCTAACTCTTTATTAAAAACAATTTGTTTTCAAGTAGCTACCTTTACTTATTTATTTCATTGCCCGCCAAATTATCTTCCTTCCCAAAGGTCAGCACTAGGACTTAATTCATGAGTATTTTGATTTACAAGAGTCTCCATTGTCCTTTTCTTATATTTCCAATACAGCTTATCCCAGGAAGTGAAGGTCCAGAAGTTTGATTTGAGGCTCTATATTGGATACATGATACTATCCGAAACGTTTTACAAGCTATTACTATGACAAACATGGTTTTCATCAAGTCTAGTCATCATGACCTCTCTGTTGAAGGGACAACTTGTGGAGATGCACTGAAAGGGAAAGTCAGCTGTCAAACAATGAGGAACTACATAAACACTCCAATCTTCAGCAATTTGCTGCAAGATTTATTTTGTATTTCAACTTTTCATGTAGATTGTTAATTTATTTTACTGTATTATTCCTAGTCTTGGTTTTGCTTCGATTCAAATTTGTACATGTTAATTTAATACAGCTGTATTTCCCACATTTTTGCTAGAGCATAGCAACAGTGAGATGTCCCCCATTTTGTTTGACTTGAAGAACTAGGAATGACAATAAGTCAATACTTTCTCATTTTCTCATTTTCTATTTATATGCATTAAAATTTTGCAAAGTGGCCTTTTCCTTTGTAGTAGTGTGAATATTATCAAAAGAAAATTATTGTTTGGCTGGAGTTGCCCTTTAAAAGATCACACAAGTCATCTCCATTTACTCGCCCAACCCTGCAATATTTTGGGGTTCAACGTCATAAAGAACAAATTGAATCATATCAACTTCTGTAACTTACAGTTTGAATAAATGGTTCCTTGTTTACACTTATAATTTGACTAGCGTGATGGTACAAACTGGAGAGGGGGTGATTTCTGTATTGGTTACTTTATTACAGCATTCCTTTTTATCATTTTTTCCATGTGTCGATTGCAAAGATGTATTTTTGCATTTTAAAAAAGTCATTTGTTACCTATCATGTTGAGAGTTAAAGTGAAAAAGAATGTCCCTTTGAAATAATCGTTTTACTTCAGTTACCCATCTCCTATGTAGTATGTTTGATATTTAAAATTTGTGGTAATTTTATATCTTTGATACTTTCATGTACAGCCTAACAGCTTATTCAAAGGGGTCAAGGACAATTGGGAAAGGCTATTATCACAGCAGATATACTAATCAATCCCCCCCCCAAAAAAAAAAGCAATGAGAGGCAGTTATATTACTTAAGATTGAAGAGCATCCAGGAAAGAAATGATTCAATATCGAGCCAGCAGGGGAGTTTACACCGAGTGCATAGACTAGTCAACCCCAAATCTGTGGTATATGATTTAAAGTGTATTTAAAGTTGCAGTACTTGTATCTCTTCACAGAGGTAACATTCAAAGCTAATATTTTGAATGTATGATACAAGCATAGGAACAAAAACATAAAGAACTTAATATTTTGAAGGGATTTTTCCTCTTTTTAATATCATTGTCTTGTTCAGGTTGACATACATGTACCTTCCATACCAAACTGTTCAACCAGAACCTTTCCAATTTTCATGAAGGGTGGGGAAACATGACAGTTTCATGTCATGAAATGATTTAATGACTGTGAGTTTTCACAATATGTAAATGCTTCATGCTGTGAAATAGCCTTTGTTGAAAATTGGGAACGATTCTGTTTTTACAGTTTTGTTATCAATCATGCATTGCAGATAATGGACATTTGTACATATTGCATCTGGACTTGTGACTGCAGCAATTTTTTTAATAAAGATGATGTAAATGAATAATACTTTGCGTGAGTGCATTATATCATTGTGCTTGGATGTAGAAAGAATGAAACCAATAATACTGTCAATACAGTTGATTCTGACACATATGCATACATAGTGGTCTGTAATATGCAGATGCTAGTAGTGTACTTCAGTTATTGATTTCCAGTAAGTTTTCATTGCACAGCTTATGCGTGTCAGAATTATTTAATCAAGTTTTGTAACTTTTGTGCCCAGTGGCTATTGTATATTTTCAATCAAAATTATTTGACACACATCGTTACAAGGTGGGAATGAGCGGAGCCTTGTGACTGGATGCCACAAAGACTTTGGTACTATTAATAACAGAAGAATTGTTCACTCAAATAATTAAGTTAGTTTTAAACGTTTATTATGCTTCCTGATATTTAAACAATAGCTCTCAGCAAGTTCCAATGAAGTGTGCTTCAGACTCAAGAGTTATCAGCATTGACATTGATACCCTAAAAAAACTCATTTACTGGGTTAATACTTTCTTATCTTAACTGTTCATGAAGTTTGGTAAATTTCTCATGAAATTATTGTGACAGTTTAGTTTATTCCTGATGGAAACAAGTTTGAATCTTCTCAGAACTGTAATTGATCAATCTGGAGAGTCAAAGAGATTGATCAATAAAGTTCTGAGGGGATATAAACTTTATCTATCAAGAGCAAATGACATTGTCACCATCATTTAATGGATAGAGGTAAGAACAAACTAGATGAAATCGTCACTTGAAAGACGAATGAGGTGGTCTGCCATGGAGAGGCAGTGACGGAGGGAGACATAGCAAGAGAAGAAGAAAGAGATGCAGAGACAGAGCAAGAGAAGACAAGAGAGGCAGAGCAAGAGAAGGGGAAAGAGTAGAGGGAGAGAGAGAGAGAGAGAGATGCAGAGACAAAGCAAGAGAAGAAGAAAAGGCAGACGAAGAGAGGGGAAGGGAAACAGATCAAGAGAGGAGAGATAGAGAGAGAGAGATGCAATGTGAAAGATAAATTCAATATTTCTAGCATAAATAGAATTAAATATAGAGAAAGAGAGAAGTTATAGACATGTACACAATTCTTTGTCCGAGGGAGAGACATAAACATAACTGCCTCCTTTCCAAATTCCCCACATCATGCTATGTCCAACTCAGTTCTTATATCTTGCAGTAGATTTTCCGGCTTTTGCGAAAGTCTGGAATCTATTTCTTTGAATTCCTGATTTCCAATCATGTCCTCCAGTATCTGCTGTATCCTCCACAGATCAAACACAAAATGATTTACACTCAAATTTCCATCATTGATATTTGTTAGCACGGGTGCTCTTTCACTGGATCCAACAGCACATGAAGCGACCTGATGTGTCCCCAGGGAGTCCACATTTGGAGTGTCACTCTTATCCCTACTAGAGACTGTGTTTGTTGAGTCTGTTCTGTTCTCATTGCAAGACTGCAATCGATGAGATGATATGATATGAAGATAATTGAAGAACTCTGCATAGTCCATCCCAGTGCTGGCCTTCATAATGAGCTTTAAAAAAAAGTTGATATAAGAATATTAACAGGGCTTACCGGTATCCTGATTTAAGCCTTATCTACATGTTTAATGGGAAGAGTTAGTCTGCTGTTTAGTAGAGCACCTGTCGCGCTTTTCATATCATACAAGTCCTTGAAATTCTATATAACCAACAAAACGAAATGATGTCATCATGATATCAAACACTCATTTTTTGTTGATAACCAGATTCATCTCCTTTTCCGGTATACATTTTGTTACACAATTACAATAATTTATACAGAATTAAAAGGTTGACACTTGATAGTCTATATATAGGTGGAGCAATTAAAATCAGGGACCCGTTTCACAAAACCTTTTTTCAATGACAAATGACAAAAATCAGTGACAAATTTTCTGATAACCAATCAGAAGCAAGGATTTCAGTAGCTTTTAACAAAAACTGTAATTTGTCACCGATGACAAGTTTTGTGAAACGTCCCCCAGGTGTAACTTAGTCTGCCCCTATGTTTTGGGTGAACATGTACCTGACATTGGTCTGCCCATCCATCCATGTCTTCATAGACTTCTGGACAGTCCTTAACTCTGACTACACACCACTCCAGTTGATGTCCAGATTACAACCATATATTTAACCAATAATGTTGATGCAGCCCCCTCCCCTACCACTTCCCCCATCCAATCTACCAGTGCATGTACCTGGCATTGGTCTGCCCATCCCTCCATGTCTCTGCAGTCTTCAATAGACTTCTGGACAGCCTGCAACTCTGACTGTAAGAACCTCCAGGTGATGTCTAGGTTACAACCATTCAGCCAATTATGATTGATAGAAATAGTGTCCTCCTGGAAGAAAGTAAATGAGACAAAAATTATATGAGGAGACAGAAAGAGAGAGCAGGACTTAAAAACTGGCAGTTGTCCCAACACCATTGACTATTTGACATGCCTGGCAATCAATAGTAAAGTGTTTGTTTAAAATGTCCTAAATTATTAAAGTGTTGTAAGGATTCTCTCATGTTGTAATTTAATTGAAATAACCACTGAAAGTTGAGTTTTAAAACCCAAAACCTAATTTTCAGGAATGATGCAGACCCTTTTGATTTCCTTTATACATTATCAATAAAACAGGGTCTGTATCTTTCGTGAGAAAAAAAAAGGTTTTACAATACTCAATTAAGTTTTGTATTACACATCTACTGAGTTATTATGTGGCAGTTGATAACTAACAATTGCACCAGTCCATAACATTCAAGACCATATATATCTTAATCTGGACCAAGAGAAACAATGTTCTGCCAAGAAGCTTGGTAATGCCTCCAACTAATTTTCACAAAGAGAGTTGCATGTTATTTTTATTTTTTTAAAGTATATTAGGAGGAGAATACTCACAAGATTAAAAACCTGATGATGCCAGCCGCTAGGAACAAAGATGACCTGCCCCGACTCTTGAATGACCTCTAAGGGCTCCCCCGCCTTGTGACGATGTGGGTATTTTGTCAAATCGTCTATCTCTGGGGAGGTGACGTCATAAGCAAGGTTGCCTAAGGTATCTCTGAGATGGTCCTCAGCTCCAGGAGGATAGAAAAGCCATCTTTTCTTGCCACAGATGTTGGCTGACCAGCTGTAGGATCGGAACACATCTGCATGGAATGGGGTCCTACGGGATAAGAATATAGATCTATTCAAATCAAACACGCCTTTGCACAACAGCTTTCAAAAAATTTTAAGAGACGTACTGCACTCAATATGCCCAGTACTGTAGCTCCTCCTTGACACAACTCGAGACTCACAGATTAAGGCTCAGCTCAAAGATTTATGGATTTTTTTGTTTAGGTGTCAAATAAACTGAGAGTTGTTGTTGTTGGTCGTATTTTTGGCATTCAGTCGAATTTGACTAACGGTATTTACGCCTAATATATTTCTTTAGTTAAATCAGTCAAGGTAGTCGAGTGGTAATAGTCCCTAGCATGGAAACTCAGTGCGCCCTGTGCTTTGCTGGTCTACTGCTGGGAATGTATCATCCTGGCTAACCCTGCTAAGTACATTGAGCGGGTTTTACTCAATTCTTTGGATCTACCCACTCAGATACACAGTGTACCACAATAGCATGACGTCACAGAAGTTTTCTTGTTCTGTCAAGTGTGATAATTCCTGTTCAGTGGATGAGAATAATCATATTGTTCAAAAGAAACTGTTCACAAAATTTACATCAAACAAAACAAATAGAACAGAAGCATGCACTGGAAATATAGATGGACACTGGACAAACAGTGACTTTAATACATTACAAATAGGTTCAAATTGATCAGAGAGTCTGCGTCTGCAAAAATCAAAGTCCACCCCCCCCCCCTCCCCCAAAAAAGGAAATACAAGCAGGTTGTACAATGCTCATATTTATTTCTTGTTCTTACCATGAACCTTTAGGTCCCATGTACACAAAGCGATAGTCATCCCCTTGCTGGTCTTGTCTGTGATCCCAGAATTCATTCAGCCAATCAGATTTGAAGTAAATGGGTGTAGTGTATGCACCATAATCAGGAAATGCTCTGAATAAATAAGTAACAAAATTAGATTTCATGTCCATATGAAAATTTGTTATATTTTTTATGCCTCGTTCAGATAGCAGGCGGTTGACATGGTATACCACAGCAGTTTTTTAAAAACAATAATGTAAGTGCAATATGCCTCACATTTCTGTATCTTATAACACAGAGCCCAGTGAATATGCCTAGAACATTTGTTGCCATTCATTTACACATTGTAGGAAATCCACTATGGCTTTTGGCTTCATACCTGAATGAGCCTTAAATAGTCTCTTTATTTAGAGAGAAGTGTCGGCATCTCAAGACTTTTAACACTTCAAATACACGGTCAAAACCTTGCTTTGTAATAAAAATAAACAAAAGGAAAGGATATACATGTATCACAAAAAACTTATTTCATGATATTTTGAATCATTTTTAGACAATGCCTCTTTTAGTGCAAAATTCCTTTACCAAAACTCTCAAGATTACTTCTCAATTTTTGAAAAAAAAAGCAAAATGTATGAAAAATCTATCTCTTCCTGTAACAAATAAACATTTTAATTTCACATAATCTGTCCTTAATTGCCACCACTACTATATATCTCAACTGGAGTGATAGTTTTATACAATCCAGCAAATATTATGAAATTCACTTAAATACACACAGTCTATAATGAAACAGAAACAAAAAACATGAAAAGAAGGCGAAGTATGGTACTTTTCTGTGTTAAAAACAAGAAGACAACATAACAACAGTCGCAATGAATGTGTATAACATATAATGTCATAATGTCATACTTTGTAAAATGCCAGTCTTTGAGATAGAGGCATCCTTCTGGAGAGTTGTGGTCCATCTCAATGTGTTTCTTCCAGTATTGGAGGTAGTCTGACATCTTCATGTCTTGCTTGGGTTGGGCATAGTATTTTTCTTTCCCACAATTAGCCACAGGTACTGTAACATCACCTGGCAAACAAACAAACAAAAATATATGATGATGATGATGATGATGATGATGATGATGATGATGATGATGATGATGACATAACCAACAACAGAAACATTTTAATAATAAAACAAGCATGTAGGAGTCATTTGACTCACTTCAAGATTATTCATTGCTCTTGGAATGTTGAGAATTACGTTTACCAAACATTTCAGACTATGATTGTAATCATTCATAGTTTAAAATATGTCAACTGCTAGTTATGTTGCATTTGTAGAATTTAAAGTATGAAAATAAAATGTAGATCTGTTTTAAGGCTCTGGTAGACTCAATTCTAGACCTCTTATGTCACCAATAAAAATAAGATCAGACTGTGTAATACAAATTTTAAAAATAAGACTTGATATGCTTTGATCTTAATTTGGAGAAAGAAACTTGATAGGTGCAACAGCATCGATATACCACTTACCAAATGCTGCCTCAATGTATTCAAAGTTTGGCGTGCCGTCATTCAACACCCATTCTTTTACACTGCGCCAATGTTCTGTTGCGTGCTTGCCGAGTAAACAAGGTTTGTTCGGCAACAAGAATGAACGGAAAAACTCATCGTAGCTCATACTGTTCTCGACAAATTCAATATCATGGACTCCCTCTCCTTTTCTCAAATCTGGTATGTATTCCGATACACCCAATTTAGCCAATATTTCACAAACATTGCTACGATGTACAGGTACTGCAGCCATTTTCAATGAAAATTGGACTAAACTTGTTCAGTTCTTCCAGTGCACAGGAGGCTGACATGTTAGACTCTTTCGATGAGGACTGTTGACAAGCAATGTTTATTGACTTATTTAAATTATAATGAGTAATACAAATAATTTTTTTTTAAATAAAAATAATTAATTATATATATTTGGTCAGACTATGATAAACAAATTAATGAAAACTAACATAAAATCATCACATAATCAGTACCATGAAAATCCGGCAATTTGGGGGAAATCCCCCAAGTCGGGATGCCGTTTGGCATGTGTGCAGAGTGAACTGTGAGCGCGACCACAGATTTGGAGAAAATTGGGGCATCATCAAAGAGTGAATGCAAAGCATAAACGCGGTGGTCGAATCAAATTTGAGGAAGGTGCGATAGAATTAGCCATTCATGCTCTTAAAGTAAGAATGCCCTAAACTTTGTGACCATATAGTTTACACCCCTTCGTTAAAAAAAAAAAAAAAAACCAGGTGCCCTTGCATGCGGAGTGGCCTACCACGCCAAGTAAACTAATATCAAGCCTATGCCCTATAGTGCTCCTCGGGAGATAAACATGTTCGTTCTTTATCCGACGTACATGGAAAGAAAAAAATGTCTTTTACTTTGGAACATTTTCAATTAAGGGTCGGATAATTTTGTAACAATTAAGCCGGGGATTATTGTTTGTGTGGGGGGGGGGGTACACCGGCAAATGGTGGTGAATTGGAGACAAAGCTAGTTGAAAGTTGCATCAATGTATAATAAATGATTGGTCCTGCATGCCTGTGCAATCTTGAACAGACCTACTACTATTTTTTTACCATCAGAAGAAATTGTTTTTTACCCCAATGAGGGTTTTGGTTCAAGGTCGCATTGAACAAGGTTGTTTACCATGTCAACAATGCTCCTTCCGTGATAGGATTACAATAATCTTTGATCTTACGAGTATGAATGTATTTACTACTACTTTAAAATATAATATTTATAATGCAAAAATATGCAACAATTTCATCATCACAATGACAAGAAAATATGAATTGTGAAATTGAAGAATCTGAATTGGAAAAAAAACTAGCACAAGTGCTATATTCACATTTTAGTCCCGGGTTTAGGAATTGCTTACGATAATGATAACGATGTTGATAGGCTATTTATACGCATGTAACAGTAAGATTTAATAGTTAATCTGAATTAATTTACACATGAAAATATATATAGGCTCTACCTGATCGTCAATACTCCACTTTGAAAAACGTTCCACGAGGCCTGCATGTAACACAAGTTGTGGTGATGCAGATTTGTCTTCTCCCCCCCCCAAAAAAAAAATGTGTTGCTCATTACGCCACTGCCCCTACATGGAAGGCGAGCCCCCTGGAATGTTTGCCCCCCCACCCCCCAACCCCCCCCCCTAATTTCAAACTGCACAAGCATGTGGCATAACAAAAATTAAGCTGTTACTTGTCATATTTAGAAAATGAAAGCATTTGAAGAGCCATGCTTTTTAGGAAAAAAAAATTCTCTGATGTTCCTCCGCACTTGCATAAAACAATGTTAATGCTCACAAATTATGTTCACCTCTCCCCAGAACTCAACCTTCTCTTTAAAGGTACTATGTCCCATTTGCAGGCCAAACAATAAAAAGATTAAATTCCAACGGCATTTGAAAAATAATACTAATTTAGAACTTCTCTCTAAATGAAAGAGCGAGAAAATGTCTTTTAGTGGGAAAATAACAAACCCTTAGTTGTCGAATCGACATAAGTGATTGTAATCACCTAAGTAATAGTCTGATTTTCAGACCCTTGTACTAAATGGCCGTACTTTTTTATGCTGCTCAAAGATTCAATCAGTTTAATTTTGGTCATTACAAGTAGTGAGTTATTGCAGGATGTATTGATGCTCATGTATACCTGTTACATCTTATAATTATGTATGTTATTACCAAAGAAAACAAATATGTCAGTCAGTCACTCAATAGTGTCCGACAGGGAAGTCTAGAAAGTATACGGGTTTCCTTGCATAATTAGAATTCTAGAACACTGCTAACGTTTAAATTTCACAGATAGGACATACACGATATATTCATAATTCCTGCAAAGTTCTGAATTTGATGTTGGCTGCAAAAGGGACATAGTAGTATTCTTAAGACTTACTTTAGATCGACCAATGCATTCTCATTGCAGATAGGTACCTTTCATTTGATAAGGTGTGGGCTCACATTAGTTTTGTTTCCCTACATGTGTCGGAAATCACCTTGTTTTATGCATTTTTTTTTTTTTTTATTTTTTTTTTTCTTCATTTCTTTATATTTATTCGCAGATAACTTTTGCCTGCATATAGTTGTGTCCTAAAATGGGGTGAAATTTATGCTGCAAGAGTGCATGGCAGCTATATAAAAAGCGCAAATTCGAATGAGGTGCATTTCATCGCAGGGGAACCATATCAGCAGATTGTGCTATGAATCTATATTCACAGTCTTTGTTTATTGGGGGGGGGGGGTGGTGCAGGAATATTTTCTGCTCGGTCGCCATATCCCGGCCCCTTTAGGGTATTATGTATGTTCCCTCCTTTTGAAAACACCCGTTAAGTCCGGTGTGTAAAACGGGCTTTTGTGTACTACGAGCCGGACTTTGGTGCGTGAAAAGTATCCCTTTACCGGACATTTTGGTAACACGCATGGTATCCCTCCGATCACGGAGTGGGGGGGGGGGGGGGGGGGGGGGAGGCATATGCCCTTGCAATGGATATGGACAAATCCACTTGCCCTAAAAGTTGTGAATGAAAGGAAAACAACCACAAAGACGATCATAGTAGGCCTACCTGGCGAAGAACTATAATGTAGGCCTATTTCAGAAGACAGTTTATAAGCGAAAATAAATATTAACGGTAGATTTTCATTAAAAAACTTGCTGGAAAATCATACTCACTAAATGGCTTGAAATCACAATAGCTTTGATTTCGCTCGTTTTTCGGTCGCAGAATTAACCCTACGTTTTCACCCTAATGAAGTATGATAAATTCATTTTGCTTGCCTTTAGCAAGCTTTCAAAATTGATAGACTGGAAAGTTTATAAGTTGGGCAAAAACATCAGCACCATGTTATGCCTACACGCTTAGGTATCCGTAAGTTATAACAGAGGAATGCAATCACATCCAGCTTCATTTTTTAAATTTGGTTCCTCTTGTAATATCACCAGTACATTTCAATTCACTTTTTCCACATTATATTGGATATTTTTAATCAAATTTATACCCGATAAGTTCAACAAACTATTTTCAAAAGATGATGCAGTCACGCTATAGAAAACAATAAATCGTATGTACATAATAATGTTATGACAAACTGACACGAAATGAATGTGAAAGGTCCTGGTATCCGAGCATGGACGTACTAAGAATGGTTTGAGCATGTATGCCCAGTAGGACAATCATAATTAACTCTGATCTGGGCGCTTGACTTTTCATTGCCATTGAATGTGTGCGAGTTTGTTTGTTTGTTTTTATTTCCGAAATCCATATATACATACAATTTTTTTTTAAATAGTATGTTGAACACATTTCAAATGATAAGAAAGTAAGTAAATGTGTAAAGTATAGACAAACGGTTGGATAGCCCATTTCAGGACCATTTTCAAACAATGGTCCTGTTTTTTCATGGGGTCCAAAAGCAAAAATTATATTAATTTACACACAATATAATTTTGTTGTTATATCAGTAAAATAGTAATTTACCAATACACTACCCCCCTATCGATCCCCCTCGCCTCACAGTATACCACCCTCTCGATACTGCCAACCCCTCCCGCTACCCTCTCCCAAGTCCTCCAGGGTATATTACTAAGACTAATAAACACTTTTTTTACATTCATAAGTTGGTATTAATTTTATCTAAAAACATATTTCTCTGTCATAACATTTCAAACTAAACTTTTTATTTGTGTCACAACGAGTATCACAACTCTGATACCGATAGAACCCCCTCTGTAGTCGGAAATATTTTATTCACTCAGAGCTCTCCTCCTGGGTTTCACCATGGTTTTACCAATCCAATCCATATTCGAAGTACTTCCTGTACAAGGCCGTAAATATTGTTCTATTGCGCATTATCGCTTTGAATCTCAGCAGGAATAACTTCCCTTCATGACTAATAAAGGGAATCTTTTTGGACATGGACTTGGGATGGATGGAAGTAAACATCTTGCAGTGAGCAAGAAAATCATGGCTCTCGTAGGCCCCCGGCCCCCCACTCAGTGTTATTTAGGGTACGCATATGCTCGTACCCTCTTTTTGAAAGCACCCCCTATCTGAGGACTGCCAACATTTTCCGAACCCCCCTTTCGCGGGCTTTTCGCGGGCTTTTCCTGCCTTGGAGACCCCCCTTAATCAGGAAAAATGCTCAATGTACCCCCCTAAATTCTGAATAATTTCTCAGGAGTCCATAGAGATGAGAGAAAAAAAAGAAAAACACACCCTTTTTAAAGAAATCTCCAGGTGAAAAGTCAAATACACCCCTTTTTTTACAATTCTCGGGCCGGACTTTGTCGCACTAAAAGTACCCCTTTACCGGACATTTTGGCAACACGCATGCGGTCATTCCGACCTCTGAGTGGGGGGGGGGGGGGGGGGGCGGGCGTAGGCCTATACGTCTGAGCATATAGAAACTTATCAGAAAGCTCACATTTTGCTGATGGATTTTTTTATTTTGACCTCAATTTTCAGTTCACTCAAAAATAATCAGGCGCTGTTCTAGAATAACATTTTTTTTGGTTTCAGGATGGAGCTTAGGGGGGCTTTGCTGAAGGGTCCATGGGGCAATTAGGATATGCGTATGTTCTTGCTCGCGGCTTATAAAGTGTTTTGGGGGAGCCAAGACCACACCCCTCCCTCTAGAAGTGATACCGAAAGTTAAACATATCTTAGATTAAATTTCCAAAATACACTTGACCGGGCTTAGATATATGACTTTTTAATCAGTAGGGTAGGTAGCCTAATAGTACTACTTAATTCCAAGCTACCCGATAATGCTTTGCATATAGGAAGTAGTATATTCCTATTTTCTTTTTACGAGTGTGTTTTAGTCCACAACAGAAGATTTATCACTGCCAACCTATGAGTTATAATATTGTCTAACAATACTTTTGCAAATAAATAAAAACATCAGGTAGACTTATAGCCATCTCGAATTCATTCCAAAATGTGTTATAAGTTATAGCCCAATGAGGACATATTTCATAAAGACATTCGAACGTTGTGACTTTGTGTCAAACAGTGCATGGGAGAGGCGTCGATCGAAACAAAGTTTAGTTTTGGATCTGGTGAAAACAGAAATTAGTCCAACTCATAATAAATTGGGAATTGTACGAAAAGAATTAAAAAAGAATTGGAATATGATATAGGCTATACGGGACTTGAACTCGAATTCAGCCATGCTTTATATGAATAATGGTTTTATCTGTCATAAAATGAAAGTACATGTAGCACGCTTAACGTTGGCCATCAACTCAAAACAAATTTGAAGATATCATGTATATGTTGTTAGGCCTTGCGCAATACTAGTCAAATAAAACTACATGTTTTGGGGTGGGCCCCTATATGATCAATATATAATTCAGCTATCGACCGAAACATAATATGTTCACAATTTTAGTTTGGCAGTAACTCTTTCGTTAGAGTAGGTCTAGAGATTTGAAGCAGGATATATTTCAGGCTAACTAAAAGAATGATAGTAATAAAACATGAAATCCACCATTCCATCGATCAATCAGTCAGTTGACCTACCCACCTGTACCCTTTACAAAGCACCCTTTTGATCATCAACAATAAAAGCATTCCAACTGAATGAGTACAAGTCAAACTATAGCCGAAGCACCGCCAGCAATATATTCATCCGCAATTTCGATCAAGAAATATCGCATCAAATTAACTAAAATTTAAAAAAGAGTAGACGAACAAATCTACCTTTTAAAATTGATTTAGAAATAGAAAGGTATTGTAAATGACAGCATATAAAATTGATGATTCCATGTAAACGACTGCACTACATTCTTTGTGCGCGGATTTATCTGTAATTGATTGACAGGTTCAGCGTTAGCGAGCTGCCAATTGACTTTTACGTGTGGTAGATTCTGTACGCGATATACAACGTTTGCTACCCATGGTACGGTACCGATGTACTTGTCCGCCAGTTAATGTTGTGTAAATTCAAATATTCATGTAGAAGTGACCGAATATACTCCAGATATCAGTGTGACAGTTGTGAACTGTTCTAGGGTTCTTGGACCCTAAGAGAGAGGTGAGTAGAAGAAGTTATTTTACGTGCTGTGTATTATTTTTATTTGTAAATTGATGCTGAATCGAGTGAAAGACTGAGAGTCTGTGAGCTGAGTGCAGTGAGTCATACACACTGCACTAAGCATGAAGTGTTTCTTTCACTTTGAAGTTTGTCTATCTGAATGAACGCCATTAAACATTTACCAACAACAACAACAACTATGCTTTGCTTTTCCACTGCTCTGCTGCCATATAGCATGGCTGTGAATGTGGAGTCTGCGTCAAATATGATTGAGAACGAGACATGATGATAGTTGTAGGAATACTAGTCTAGGTACTAGGATTATTATGAGGATTAGAAATGGAGAGAGAAAGAGAGTGAAACCATTAGGGGCGAGAATGAGGATCGTCCGCAAAAGCAAGGATATCCCCATAGACATTGACAAATCGCATCCTAAAAAATAAGGATCGTCCTTTTTTTTTCTTCGGCGCTCTGCAGGTGTAGGGTTCCAGATCCGCGCCCTGGCAATGCGGAAATCGGATTCCGCATAATAAATACCCCCAGTTGACCGTCTACTTTTATAGATCTAGGTCGCTCGTCTACCCGAAGATTTATCGTACATGAAAGTCTTTGTACAAAGTAAGTGTGAAATGCATCAAGGAGCATCATCACGGATTCTGTTTTAGAGCCGACTTTCGGCCTCGATTCCTGGATGTTAGATAAATGAGGCACGTAGAAATTTCTGCTCTGTGTACTGAGTTTAATGCGCTTCCATTGGCCGATCCACTCGAGCGGTTTTGAATTTAATTGAGAGAGGGCTCACTGAAGCAGAGAGCGCAACAGTGCTAACCATAAAACGGGACGCACAGTACACACATAAAATAGAAAGATCTACTAACATTTCACCTTAAATATGACGAAAATTTGAAGTTTTCAAAGTTAAGTAAGACTTAATCTTAACTCAAGTGAAATACTAAACTTTTGTAAGGATGCTGAAAAAAAAATTGTACAAAATCTAGGTTCGACTGGAATACCATGATTTTGGTAACACATCAAATGGAATTTCGCAGGCTTTCTGCTCGCACTAATATCTTATAACGTTGAGTGAATGGCAGCCAGCGATAGCCAATCATAAGGGCCCTTGTAGGTGCCAATGGAGAAAAATGAGGCTGAGAGCGGATGAACATAATGCAATAGATGTAAGCTAAAGTTCTATGTATCAGGATGCAATACACTAAAGACCAGTCCATACAAATAGATAATCACAATCCAAGCTTTGGTTTCATACCTTTATTCACGAAAAATATTTTTTAATTTGGGAAATAGATGCAAATTATGTATAAGCTATAGCTGTGCAAAACTGCAAACTGAGCTTAGCTGTGCTGCTGGAGGCAGATGCTGAATCCTTGTGTAAACTCGATGTACACAAATTTGGTCATAAACAAAATTGATTCATAGCATACCAAAACCTGTACATTTTCACAGGCCCAAAATGTATAGTAGGGATCAAGTTTTGGGCAGTTGATTTTTTTTGTTGAGTTGATTAGCTGAAACTTTATGTACTAAAGGAAAATCAGTGATAGTTTCTTCAGTTTTGTTTATGATTTTGAGCTTAGATTCGGCTGGAAGTTACAGAACTGATTTATATACTGGTAGTCATTTACAGTCCATTGATTTACAGTATGATTTTGTAGCACCCTGTTTAAAATTGAGTACTTCAACAATCATTTATCTTTTCCTGATTCCTCCCTTTTGTTTTGTACATGTGTGAAACATTTTTGTACGCTAGATTGGGGTGTGACGTCAACACCATCATGGTTAGACACATTACACATGCATACAGTAGATTGGGCTCCAGAAGGCACAATGGATCAGTGTTAATGGCAAGGCCAGTAGTATTCGTATTGTGTTTTTATTTTTTTTTGGGGGGGGGGGGGTGGGGTCAAGACAGTTGATTTCTAAGTTGAAGCAGTAAACTAAAACACAACATCTAAGGGCAAAATTATTTGATAAATTATCTTACTTTCATACAATTCCTTCCATTGGTTCTCTCTCCTTGATCAAGTGAAATTTTCAGGCCGTTTGTTGGCTGGCAATCTTGCTCTTTTGAAACTCCACACAAGAACAATATGCACTCTTAAGCGGTTGCTGATGAATCCCCCTGGTCCCGTCCTACCCAATACCCATAGAACATAATTTTGAAATCAATGATTTTTTTTGTAAAATATATATTTTTACAGAAATGATGGGTCTTAGGCTTTGCTTAGGTTGTTAGGTAGGACAACCCATAATATTTGTCCTATCTAGCAACAATTAATGTATGCAATTCACCTTCTGTCTATTAAAATACAATGATTTGTAACAGGTGAAAGAAATATTTTTGTACATGAGTCATGAGGTGCTTATCAAAGATTTGTGCATTAAATCTGATTACCGGTACTACGAAAATGGCCTATTGGCCAATCATATGCTAATTAGACACATACAGTACATGTACTCTATCAATTTTTGTCTTTACATGTACATACATGTACATTTATCCTCACAATAATATTGGCTATTTGTGAGAGAGCAACACAATTTAATAATTCATCAATTAATTGATCATTTTGCATGTACATGTACATCAAATTGCACCTCAAGGAAATTACAAATTTACAACACACTAGGTTGTACAAAGTAGATTTGAACTGAATATGAATCACTTAATATGAATATTAGCCTGGAGTGTCATGAATGTTTTTTCTTTACATCCAGAACATTTGGGGCAGCAAAAACTGGTATAAACTTGAAAGGGCGCTTTTCATTTTTATACAACGGACAATTTGGTCGGTTTTTATATCTTTGTCTTTTGATTTTCTATAATAAATTGTCCAGGGTATATCATAACAGACTGATTTTATGATTGTTCAATTGAAAATGTATTCTCTGATGGAGTGTCCTCTTAGTCTTAATTTAACAGAAATATCTGGGTATTAGATAGTGATACACTGAATAAGAAGAAGAAGGTTTGGCCTTTTATGTATGACACTGATAGAATGATCTTGCCCTTGTCACACACAATAAATCATGTAATTGGAATGCACTTCCGGTAAATTGAAGGCAAAGAGTAAGATTTTCTCCTTCATAGAAAAGGGTAAATGACTTGCTGTGCACACAATAGGTGAGCAGCCAGAGTAAATGGGCTTTTGTAATGATAGTCTTTATTTTAGTCATTAAACGGAAATCTGCTTTATATGTTGTCTGTAAAGATAGTATGCAACTATGCATACAAGTATATGTGTTACAAAGTGGTTGATTAATTATGGAGGTTAATTTCAGTGATTTAGTTCAACTGAATATAATGACTAGAATATAAGTATTTGATTATTTGAGATTGACTTTTCAAAACAGTGTCAGGTGCAAGACTATGTTATTGTGGCTTCTCTGTGTGTGGGAGTAGCAGTGGCTTTGTGTGTTTGTACAGCATTGGTATTCATACCAGTGGAATGCATTACAGAGTGTGTATTCTAGGAGATGCAAGGCTGGCTGGCTGTACATGCATGTAGGCTACATGTACCTGCTGTTCACCCCAACACCCTGCCATCCTCTTGTACACAGAATGCACTACTGTATTGCAAATGCATGCAATGTTGGTGGGATGTACTTTGTTTATTTCTGTAGGACTCTCCAAGTGCATTCTCCATAAGCATAATGATGCTGAGTGCCGAATGCACCGAGATTGATGGGGGCTGCAAATGAATATGGATTCCTGATCATGCACATACATCAGTGTATTGCCATGCAGTGCTTGTTTTATTATAATGCTCATAGATGTAGCGTATGCATCCAATATCTATTTTATTCATTCTCCTCTCCTTTGTTCATCTTTTATACTTTCTTAAATTAATTTTCTCCCTTTTTTCTTTCTTTCTTTCTTATTGCTCTGTCATAATAGTGAGGAATCTAGGTCATCAAGTAAATTTCTTTTTTAGAAATTGTATATAAGAAAAAGACATCCCTTGTAAATCAGAAACTCAGAAAGACATTTAAAGCCTACACTACAGAATGAAGCCACCAATGGTGTAGATGTTTTTCAGAAAGCATTCATTGCGGTTGAGAAGTTCAAGCCCAGCATACTAGGGTACATGGAATACCAAGTGAGTGAGTAAGATGACCCTGTCAAACTTGTCTCGCATCACTTGTACTCACCCAGACAGGGAGGGATACATGTAGTCTGCCTCAACTAGACTTGGCATTTTTTTCTTGCATACTATGGATAGTTTGATTTCATTGTACCACTGTAGTAACATTAAAGAGAAGGTTGAGTTCTGGGAAGAGGTAAAAAATAATTTGTGAGCGTTATCATTGTTATTATGCAAGGGTGGAAGAACATTAGATTAAACATGTTCCCTGAAAAGCATGGCTCTTCAAATGCCTTCATATTCTAAATATGACATGAAACATCGTAAAAATCGGGGGGGGGGGGGGGGGGGAGGGTTTTTTTCGCCATGTGCTCGTGTAGTCCCATATACATCATTCTGTGTATAGTGCTTGTAACTTTGCCAAGATTTGGCCAAATTTCTTATCATTTTGATGATTCCAGAACCTTGCAATACACACAAATACTTGTATACTAGATGATCGACATTTTCTGATAGATTCCACAGTTTTTTTTTCACAATGCAATCACATGACCAGAACTCAACTTTATCTTTAAATAGAGTACAATTAAATTGTATGGGCAAGAGATTAATCTTTAAAACTCAAAGAAACATATCTATCTACATAGTACATGTACATGTACATGAACATGTAAGAATACTAAGATGTTGCCTCATCTTTTCTTTTTATTATTATTATTATTGTTGTCGTGGTTTTTGGTTTGTTAGGGGGGAGGGGGGTCATAATGTATGTCTGCAATGATACAATTCATTCATGAAATCTCTGGAGAAAAGTCGCAAGCAAAAGTGCTGCAATACTGTAGTACTGTACATATTGTAAATACAGAAATTTACTAATGTTTTCAAATCTCAATCTGT